AATGTTTACATATATTCATTGATCACGGTTAAAATGCTTGACAAAATAAGTGCTCAACGTGAAGTTATTTTGTATTTTGTTTATTTAATTTTTTTTTGCACCATTCGTTCACTAAAATGTTAATCATTCGAAAATGTACTTGGCGAGTACTCTCAGATATGTACTTAAGGTTTTTTTTTGTTGTTGTTAGGGACGAGGGATGGATAAATACCCTGCTACGTCCGGTCTGCCTTTTTGTTTGATGCTTTTCTGAAGAGTTAAACCTTTTTCAACTGCTTTTTATAGTTTGTTCTTATGTTGTGCTGTTACACAACTGTCTCAGGTTTAGGGGAGGGTTGAGTTCTCACAAACATGTTTAACCCCACCACATTTTGTATGTGCCTGTCCAAAGTCAGGAGCCTGTAGTTCAGAGGTTGTCGTTGGTTCATGTCTGTCATATTTGTTTTTTTCTAAATTGTTTTGTTATAAATTAGGCCGTTATTTTTATCAGTTGAATTGTTTTATATTTTTCATGCCGGGGCCTTTTATAGCCGACCATACGGTATGGGTTTTCTGGTTATTGAAGGTAGGACGGTTGCCTTTAGTTGCTGACATCCACTTTATTTGAACTTTGGTGGATAGTTGTCTCATTGGTAATCATACCAAATCTCCTTATTCTTATATGGTAACTGCCATATCCAATTCACAGTTTTTCGGAACTCAAACGAAAGGTCACGTACCATAAATGCATTTTTACATTATGTGTGACAAAGGTAAACTATACTGAACTTTTTGTTACAGATATATAACCTTTGAATACTAGTATGTAAAATTTAGACGACTTACCGGATTAAAAATCTCAAATAGATAGTTTACATAACTGTTTTATTTTCATCCTATTTAGACTTATAGTAGTATAATATGATTTTTTTTTATTTCATACATGCATATTTAATAAATGTGTGAAAATTTGTATGAAGTGCAACTATTTTCAGCCAGTTAGTCATTTATATATTTGTGAACATTGATAACGAGGGACAAAAACAGAATGAAAGCTTGTCGGTTTATTGACGATTTCTGTTATTTGTTTCACTCACAGAATAAAAATCCTAAAATTGATACATCTTAATGAGATTCAAAAATTAAAGAATCAAAATGATAACTCTTATATCAAAATACCTAAAGCTACATTTGAAATTGTCAAACTAACTGTTTTAGTTTTTTTATCCCATCTGGCGATTACGGCGACGTGAGTTATTATCATCGCTTGGTGTCCGTCAGTAGTATAGTATGAGGATTTTCGGTCACCCCCTAGGTACCGAGTTATGTAAAAAAAAGACTGACGCAATAACTGGAACTGAGAAGAAGGGGGAGAAGGATCTCCCAAATAAATAAGGGAGAAGGGACCACCCCCCCCCCCCCCCCAAAAAAACATAAATGGAATTTATAAATGTAAATAGAATGATTAAGAATGATAACAATTCAAATATTGACCTCATTCGTGATGTATATTTGTTATTTAAAAGAATTCGTTTTTGTGTTAATAAAATTCTTTTTACATTTTGTATTGCTGATCATTTTTGCTGTCTCAACTTCTATCCATCTATTATAGTTTTAAGATAAAAATTATTGCCAGGTTTTTATTAACGCGATTTATGCGACTGGCAGAGTAATAAGAACTTGCATTCTGATATCTTATACATATATATGAATGCAGTTTTCCCCGAAATCGCAATAATTTAACTTCGTATTTTGTCCATTCTTCAAAAATCGCCATTATAAATGCACGCGATAATTTCTGAATTTACAGTAGTCATTTAAGGGTTAAACTCCTTGATGGGTTCAGTTATTCGAATTTCTTATAGGTCTTGTATTGCTGATAATTTTTGCTGTGTACAGTTTTTTGGTTTTTTTTTAGAAAAAGACAATAGGTAGATTCTCTACTAGGCAGATTTGTTTATGTATTATATACGGATTCTCATCCAGATATTAAACAATTATTCTCATTTTATCACCGGCAGAGTTAATTAGAAAACAGAAAAAAAAACACAAGGACCATTCAGCTAAGTTTATTGAAATTGGTTTACACATCTTTAAAAAAGAGAGAAAAGATCAACAAAATTCTTTACAAAACAGGATTAATTGCCCTTAAATGGTATTTTTTTTACTTATTCTAGCCTTTGGTCTATAACCTTAAAAACTCTAACTATAGATAAACAGAAACTGATAACAACAAAAATTATCACAATTACAATATTTAAAAAAGTACTAATTGACTGAAACAATCAATTGACTCTTATCTTGACTATGGACATTCTTTAATACGACCACTCATAATTTGTTATTTATTATGTGTTTTTTGTTATCTTCTAATCCGTTGTTTAAGAGTTAAGTGCTTTTACTGTACTGGTTTTTATCGTATGTTCTGTTAAAAAAGGGGATGCATTTTCAAAAACTAATTAACCTTGCCACATTTCCATGTACCTGTCCCGTAAGCTAGGATCCTAATTAATACTAGTTGTATGCCATATATTAATTATTTTCGTTATTTGGAGAATTGGTTCCTGATACCCGATCTTTGATATTTATTCTGTTTAAATTTATTCACAACTTTTATAGATTGGGGACAATTAAAAGCTTGACTCACTGTATAGACACCTATTTATTGTTGAAGACCTTATGATGCCCTTTAGATGTTTCTTTTTTTTTCTGTTTTTCTTTTGTTTGCTGTCTCATTGACAAATACCCCATATTTTTTTATGCGTATATGTATATTACAACTAATGTTTACGACATGAATATATATAATGAAAAAATGCGATATTTGAATGCGGGAAAGATTATGAATCGGCTTCATCAATTGACTAATCACTTATGTTAATTTCTGAAAACTCAAAAGAGGTCAGTAACCCTGGTAGCATGTTTGAGAATGTCTCTGAAAAGGAGTTCGTCCACTTTGATAAGGGATTTTTCTGAATGTAGTCTACATTTATTAAATATTAAACAATCATATGTCCTCCGGTGCGACAAAAGCTTCAGAATTTCAGTTCTGTTTGCGTGAAAGTGAAACAAAGGCACTCCTCGTTTGGATAGCATTAGCAAGATTGTGATTAAACGCAGATAGAGACAGTGTTAGCTATTGTCAACCGCCTGATGATTCAAATCCTTTCCAAATGATTATTACAGTCTGTGTTTATGTTGTGCTGTTAACCCCACCATATTTACTATGTGTCTGTTCCAAGTGAGAAGCCTGTAATACAATGATTGTCATTGGTTGTTGTCAGCAATGTTTGGCTTACCTTTATTGTTTTAAGCATAAACTAGATCGTTGGTTTTCTCTTTTGAATTGTTTCACCTTTTGTCATGCCGGGGATTTTAGTAGCCTACTATACAGTAAATATTTGCTCATTGTTGAAGCCCGTTAGGTAACGTGACCAATAGTCGTTTACATCCTCATCCTTTGGTCTCTGGTAGATAGTCGTAGCAATCGTATCACATCTCCCTACTTTTATACTACTTTATTTGACACAATATAACAAAGCTGTACCATTTTCTGTGTGAACGTCGAGTAGGATTGGTAAAGTATTTGTTATGTATATTTCTACAATATAGAAATGTTACATTAGACAACCTTTGTCAACTGGGTTCACTTAACGTGTACCTTGTCAAGTCGCTTACTCGTTTTCAAGGCCCTTTTTTATTGCGGTTTTGGTAGTAGCATTCGGAATTTACCTTTTGCATGTATGGCTTTGCGTACAGTGCTTAATTCAAATGATTTTTTCATGTACACATTTTTTTTTATTTTTTTTTTTTTGGGGGGGGGGGGGGGGGGGGGTAGGGGGGTCGGGAAATGTTTTATCTAAAAAAGCACATTTGTGTTATATTTTAATACAAACTATAGGTTATGGTATTTCATATTCAGATACCGGATCATTTAGAACATGCTGGGCATTCTCATTTATAGTGTTTTACAATAACTGGGTCGATACTACTGCTAGTGGACGTTTCGTCCCCCGAGGGTATCACCAGCACAGTAGACAGCACTTTTGTGTTGACATGAAATATCAATGATGTTCATTTTCTGTAAATGTACTATTTATAATATATATAATTATTAGAAACACAAAGGTTTTCTACGCACAGATATAGATTGCCTTGCCGTTATTGGCACAACTTTTTTTCAGTAATGCTCTTCAACTTCGTGGGACTATAGACGAAACTTGCGTCTTGTATACCAAATTATAAACCTGGCCTACCGATGTGTTTCTGTTGATTCCAATAGGAATATGCACCTAAAGAAGAACAATTTCTCTGCTTTAAAGAATATTAAGTGTTTGTTATTTATATGATTTTTAAAATCAAAGGGTTGATTTTGGCATTTTGTATATTGCTTAAAGGCATGAAAAGGAGTCAGAACGAATAACGAATTTTGATTTGTAAGAAGCAGTATTAAATTGTAAGGCGGTGATGATTATCGGATATGGATTCGATCGAGGGTATATATACACAGTGAGTTGCCGCTCTTTCTCCAGACACTGCATCAGATGCTACACAATCGTCATCCTTCGATCCATTCGTTTTATACGATTAAAAAGTCTGCTTGATAAAATTAAATTTCATATATTCTTGAAAAATGACTAGAATCATCCTTTTTGTATTAACGCAGATTTTGTTAATTCCTTCCAGAGAAGGCAATTTGAGTAGAATTTAATTCATAATCACATAAATGTGGTTTTAAACTGATTCCATAAAGACGCAATTTTGATGTGTTTTATGTTTAATGTTCACAATGTTAACGGCCGATGACGATAACTCACACTGGTCCTTTGATCCATGTAAATTTAAAAGGGAAATCACTGACAATGACTCCACACTTGGGTATCATTAGCCGGAGTAAACTTAGAAACTAAGGAATATATATCAAAGCATATAAAATGAAATAAATGTAGTAGCAACTACCCACAAATAGTCGAAGGCCCTTAACGAAGTATATTCAGAACTAAAGATAACATATTTTTTTGTCATGTATTTATATATATAATTTTATTTTTTTCACTACACGTTGAAATACAATAATGACATCACTCATACAATATGAATAAATTATGATAAATAATAAACTTTATGAAACTCAACTGAAATAAAACAAGACTAGATGTAATGACACCACCACAATGTATAAATAAACACTATAAACAATGTAATAATGAATAACAAAAATTATTAATTAATTGTATAAATTCTATTGCACATGCGTATTTCACATCTATATGTATATGGAATATATCACAGATATGTAATGATAGCTGATGCCAAATGGTATAAAATATGATTTGTCATTTTTAAATACTGAAGTCACATTTTCTGAAGCTGCCATTTACATCACATTATAAATACAAAAACAATACAAAAAACAGACTATTAACATTGAAAGAAATAATAAAAAAAATTATAAACAGATATTTCATTATTTATCACCGAAAAACTATAAAGATGACATAACATTAAGCTGCTATTTGCGAGATTCTAGTGAAAAAATGAGATTCGAAAGATCTATAAACAGCAATAACGTACAAAACAACGTTTTAACGTCAAAACATCGAAGTGATAGGATGAAAAACAAATAATACATAAACTGATAAGCGTTAATTTTTGCAGACAAATTTCGCCATCTAAAATCTAAATAGTATGTAAAAATTAACTTTGCAAAATATAAAATAAAATACATCAAAAGTTTCTTGTCTTGTAAAAAAATCCAAGAATGTAAAGTTATTGGTCATAATTTTTGAATGCACTGTCCGTGAACCAATGGTCTGTCCTCGGTCTTAAGAATATCTGCTTTTGTCAAATTTTCGTATGGCGGAGGACTAATCAAATCGGTTTTGCTTGAAAACAATACTCCCGCATCATTTTTGAGAATGTCCATTTTGCCTTTTTTAGTTTCGGATACTACCGGTGCAGTTGGAACAAGACCAAATGCTGGTGTTGGCCAGTTCTTACAAATGTCATTACATCTGTGGTTCTTAAAAACGTTTAGAATACCTTGTTCACCATGGTCACAAGGTCCAAATGTTCTATTCCGAGAATGAATAGTGACTCCAGATAGTTTGATGTCCTTATCTCTTTCTACACCTTCCATTTTACATATAACAAAGTCGCCGTAGCTTTCAACATAAGAATAATGTACAAATGTGTCGAGAAGTTCGGATTCTTGACGTCGAATGCCATCACTGTCGATAAATGATTGGTAATCGCCATCTATGAATTCTTCAATAAGAACATGTTCGTGTTCAGCGAGTTGTTTTTCGTATCCTTTTATATATCGAAAGGGTGTATTAAATACGGAAACAGAATCCATTTCGGAAAGACATGGCTGGGAAAATTTCAAATTTTTTGTGTTTGGAAATTCATCCTTAAAAGTATCAGCTAAGGAACGTGATTTTTCTGAGCAAGTTATCGCAGACTGGAGGTTGTTTTCGGAACCGATTTCGTCGTTCAAAGATTTGACAACAGCTTTTGATTGGCTCCAATATCCATGTTGGTTGTACATACGACCTTCAAAGACGGTATGGCGCTCGCCGACAGCAAATGGATAAAACTCGAAGCTTACCCACCAACTGTGGCCATCCTCACATTTGGTTTTGGAAAAGAATGTAGAGTTGTTTGTTTTTATTTTTGATAATACTCCCATTATTTCTGAAATAGAACAAATAATGTTACCGAATCATATATATGATATTATTTGTTATTTTTACCATGAATGAATATAATACACTTCCTTATATCACATGCAAGTCATATCTTGACTACGCGTACTTGGAAAGATTAAATATAGCAATACGTGGAAATGTGTTATTATGACCTGCATAGTCTCAAATGTGTTTTTACGATATAGGTATATTGTCCCATTTTATAAACCATATAGGTTTATTGGTGTATGATAACAAACTCGACAAACATTTTATCGATTAAATAGTCCAACATTTTGATAATCCCTATTTCTGTGTAAGTTACTGGAATAGATATGGTTCTATATACGAGTATGATTGTCTTGACCTGTAGGACAAGGAACGAGTATCTTCGGGTACCAGTTTTTAAACCATGTTTCTTAAGAAGGTCTATACTTCCTTAGGAGTATAAGGTTAGAGCAGAAAGAAGTTTCAATGAAGACATTCAAGCAAATTTTATAATTTTTTAAGAATCAACATCTGATTGACACGTACGTATGTCTTTGAAAATTTCATCAACTGTCTTAGACTGTTAATTAAGCTAAACACAAAATCAATTCAACATAAACATGTATTCTAGATCCGGCGTTTTACGTTTCCGCAAATTGGCATTACTTTTCCGGAAAAAAAAGATGACGTTTCCGGAAAAAAAAGTCTACGTTTCCGCAAATAAATATCTTACTTTTCCGGAAAAAAAGTAACTATTCCGGAAAAAATAAATTATTACTTTTCCGCAAATAATTAAGGAAAATCTGTTGATCGAAAGCAAAGCCATAATAAAAAATAAATATTTATTAAGTTAAAGGTCATCATAACATGCAAGTAAAATTCATCATTAAAATGTATGAAAACTTATGTTCAAAAGTCAGCACTAGTCAGATATATCTTGATATGAGTTCATAAGTCAGTTCTGGCAGAATATTTGTAGCCAACACGTCGTACAAAGTCCACAGTAGTACATTCACCGTTTACAAGTTTTGTATTTTGTTCAAGAAGGAAGTCCATCTTCTCCTTTTCATATTTCCGAACGGGTGCTTTTACAGTTAGAGTTCTCATCTTAATGTATGATGTTGTTTGTAGCTTCAATAACACATCGACAAAGGCAAAAATGTTAGGATGGCTAGCGTAAAACTGATCGTTCAGGTAGGCATGAAAAGACTCGGCACCATTCGTTGTTCTCTTTTCCTCGGGGGTCATGAGGTGATGCCCAAATGGTTGGTGGAAATCTCGAATTACCATCTATATAAAATTCCAATATATAATCGGCAAACTTCATGCATTTATCGTCAGATGGAGCATCGGCTATCAATTCAATAAAGCATTCATCAATCTTGTCAGTTGGCAAGTAAGCCAAACCAAAGAAATGTGTTTGCCATTTACCAAAATCCGAACCTTTGTCTTTGTAATCGGCACTCAGACCTATCGACTGAATTTTTTCGACACCAACTTTGTCCTAAATGAAATCTGCAACAACTGATTGTAGCAGCAAGAAATGTTTTCGTAACAGCAGTATGCATTGCACATTCAAAGTCAATATGAACTACCTCGGGCTCGAGAGTTAATCTTCGGGTAGTGCACACATCAATAAGCAGATCCCACATTTTGATGTAACATTATTAAAAAAATAAAATAAATAATGTATCTAATATATATTCAAATATTTATAATTTACCAGGTAAATTTCCGGAAAAGTAATAAATACAAATTGCGGAAACGTATACTTTAAATTCCGGAAACGTAGTATTGGGACTTTAAAAAATTAGCGGAAACGCAATACGCCCTCTAGATCGTTAAATACATATCGATAAAATGCTCCTATATTGAAACTAACTGAGATAAAACTAAATTCAAGTCATTCATACATCAAATAATTCGGTGCATTACATTTGTGTCAATACCATTACATTTGCGCGCAAAAATCATTATGTTTGCGCGCAGCTTTTGATTACATTTGCGCGCATTCTTTTACAGGTAAACTCGTGTAAATACAGGAAGATTATACTTATTTATTTATTTAACTATTATTTTCAAGCAGGATAAGAACGTTTTGTTGTGCACAAGTACTTCGTCCTGGAAATATAATACAGATAAAAATGTTAAACATAGTAAATCTAAAAAATTAAAAGTTCTGATTTTACAAGTCGTAACGTGCACAAAAATACATGAATGTGCTGAATAAAATTTGCCATTGTAGTGAGCATGGAATGATTCCGGGCCATTTGTACTACGCCTGGGTTCAGCTGACGGTAGTGATGCCCTAAGACCTTGAGGAAATAGAGAATCTGGTGAAATACCTTTGCAATTATTTACGGTACATTTGACGGTTAACGTTTCATTCCTCTGAAATTAAAAAAAAATCGGAAACTTTTGAAAATCAAAAGGTACCTTAATTTTACCAAGAACGTTCGTTATACAGCCTTGCTTTTACAAATTCCAACAATTGTGTAAAGTTTCAAGTAAATTTTTACAAGCATACTCAAGTCAAATTGTCTTAAACCTGGGCCTAGTTTTCAAAAGTATCCTAAGATATGTCATAAGACATATCTTAGGACAAAGTTTATGACCATCTTACGATATGCCATAGAATGTAAATCAAAGCTGTCCTACGATAGTCATACCTATGAGCTCTTGTGACTGTCATAAGTGAACATATTTTCTTTTATTCAAAATTATGATTACAAAATGATAAAAATAACTATAAATATAACTCTCAAAGGGAATGATTAAATCCTACGCAGCCTCATATAATACATAATGATGAGATCTACCTATTGTTTAAATTAGGTCATGATATCTTTAAAAACAACGAGGGGGCCATGTCGAAAAAAAAAACAATAAAAGGAAGATAACTTCTAAAGGGGATGATGAAATCCTTAACAAGGTCCTCTGGTAAAACTTCATGATGAGGTCTATCGGTGGTTCAAATTTGGTCTTGATAACTTCAATAGAAACGAGGGGAGGGCATGTCAAAAAAATGCTGGAAGAAAAATAAAAACAGTAAAAAAACAGTAAGGTCTTTCCTCACGAAGGGGAAAATATGTTAGCGGGCGCCTAACCCTCCCCCTAACCTGGGACAGTGGTGTAACAGTACAACATATGAAAAAACTATCAAAATCAGCTGAAAATGGCTTAGCTCATCAGATCGATATAAAGCTGAAAAACAAGTAACAAAGACACAGACCGGACATGACAGGGTATTTATACATTCCTACAACAACAAAAAGACACTAGGTACAGATCTGAGAGTCTGTGTAAGACATATCTATACCAGACGGATGAAGGAAATAACGACCAAACAGATAGACGGATGGACAGCAGTATACATGTATAGATCCGTCGTTGAAGCCGTATAACATTGCTTGGTCGCAGACTGCAAAGAGAACAAGAAAATGAAAGGCTTGCATTACTGTTCGTTCGTCACAGAGGTAAGATACCAGGAGATACTTTATGAATACTATACGAAGACCGCAATAGTTTACTTATATTCTATGTTGTAGTAAAATGGCTTGTAAAATTGGCCAATCCATTTTAAAAATAAATACTGTTATATTTCTTCTTGATAAATCTCAATTTTATTTTGAATGAACGGTTATGTTGAAATATTTCATGTCTTCACAGTTCATTTTTGAGAGTGCGCTCCGCGTCAAAGTAATATAGATATCTATGATGATAAAAATAAACTCAACATCATAGGGTTGATATTGAATTGGATGATTAAATGCAAAAAAAATTAATACAATGAAGGAAACATAAAAACTATTTGTACTTGCTACGAAACAGAACAATTTGGAAGATCCTCACACCCGAATTTTAATTGAATTAACTTATGTGACCCTTTATCAATATGAATAAAAGCAGATGTGGTAAACCTCAATGAGACAGCAATCCAACGACAAAAATAGCCTTGGTCCGAAGCGAATCATACACCCAGAAATGATGCTTCGAACGCATGAAAAACGCGTGTGTAATATTCTAACGATTTTTCAAACCCAAAATTACAATTAAAGAGGTCAAATTATCCTTCGTTTTAAACATGAACAATACCATATATATATCAATTAGTGTGATCGGTATACGTGACAAGTTATTAAAAGTTATTATTACTACCGCAGAATATTTCATACTTACATAAGAATCTATATTTAAATGTTTTATATATACCAGTAAGAAGCACGCATCATATATGTAATATATATTTAAAGATAGAACTGATGTAAATTTCGTATAATGTCAATATCGTGTTCTACCAGGTAAGTTTATATTTTATCAACGTACAAAACGTACTTTTACATAGAAACTGATACGAAAAACAAGAATTAAATTGGATTTTACCAGGAAAATATTGTGGTTGTAAAGCTATCAAGTATGTTTTGGTTCCTTCATTGGAAATGTTTGGGTTTTTTTAAAACAAAATAACGATCAAAATGTCCTGAGATGATTTATGATTAGAGATTATTACAACCTTGAGCTGGTTTATAAAGCGCTACAACCGACTCAACTCCCACCCCCATCCCATTCTATTTCAACATATACAATAACAATTAATTCAAACCAAAATGGTTGATCGCTACATTGTTCACGGTAAATGCAGCAAGCCTAAGATCTTGATAAGTAATCATTGTAAAATCGTACCCCAACACTCTAATATCGGCCGCTGCACTTTTAAATAGCTTCAGTCATATATAGGCTATGGTATATAATATCTTTTATTTTGTGGTTGGGTTACTGACTTAGTTACCTATACTCTACCATGTGAATAATCAAAGTTTATTATCTGACGGATTCAGATGTATAAATAAAGTAATCCTTTCTTAAAGGACATTCTGTTTAGCTAAATACAAAATGTGTTTGAATGTATAAAACAGTATTAAATACATATGATCCTTTAACGTTGATTTAAACTGACTTTTGCTACTTTACTATGCTTCACATGTTGCTTATTTATAAAGTTTACATCCGTATCAAAGCGGATAACACTTTTTTTGTAATTTTATATTACTTTCAAATGCACTTATACTTTAATTAATAATTTAATCTTCATAATTAGAAAGTACTAGTACTACAAACCCTTCTTAACTATCTTTATTTTTATTTCCTTCCAAATACGAACTCATAATAGCGTTCATTACATTTACATAAAATAATAAGTAAAATTATCGAGGCATTTCTCCGATTGTGAGAGAACAAAATTTTATCCTAGATTTTATTCAGTTTTCAAATACTAAGAGATGGTAAATGTCGGTTAAAAAAAATCGACCATTCTTGTTGTATTCGAACTTAGTTTTAACACACCAAACAAGAAACAATCGTCTAATACGCACCAGTATTAAGGTAGTATGCCCCCTTGTCATTTTATTGTGATGGTACAATGCAAAGCATTTCACAGGTGATGCTGATACGGTATAAATTTAAAGAAAAAAGTCCGTCCACCTTGTATATATATATATTCATTTTGAGGCATCTTTCCTACTTTTTTTACGTAAGGCGGTAGAGGCAGAGATGAAAGGGTCATTCGTGAACGGAGGAGGTTTTTGATGTCTGTTTAATGTATTATAGGTCATGAAAAAGACACAAGGTTCCCAGCTGTGACTTTACTTTGTTACCTGATGTTTTTGTTCTTTTCTGCTCACTTCTTGTACTGCAATTAAAAAAATATCTTTTCACGAATCAATCATGTTAAAATCTGTATTCATATAAGTAGACTTAATATAAAAAAGAGGCTAAAAGTTTAAGTCTATTTTGTTTCTATCTTGTTCATAAAAAAGATTGGCAAGATCTCAGTTATATTTTAGGAAAACGGTGTTTACCAATCTTTAAATTATACATGATGTAACATTTATTACTTATTCATTACCTGAGTATATATATTTTTACTTACAGGTAGGTGAATTCATTTATCTATTTATGTATATACTTTTATATATATGGTTAACTTTTATTTAAATTTTCTACTCCATTCGTGATTTCATTGGTCGTATTTTTTTATTAATATCTTATTTTGTTTCTCGACTCCGAACAAGAAAAGATAAAGGATATTACGTAATGATCAATGCATATAAATAACTCCTTTGTAATATAGACTTATAGTATTAAGACTTAAATATGTGAAAATGCACTTTATCAAAACCCCCTTTTTGCGTAGTAAAAGCCGATTTATCTTCTGAGAAAATGTTCTATGCCCATCGTAATGTCACGTTCTTCTGTGTGAACATGGCAAAATGGTCACTGGGCATGGGTATGAAATATTTAAAGGGTGGCAATAGGTCCCAGTTTCCTTCACACTTTATTTTAAGTCGAAAATGACTAGTCCTGTGTCCAATAGACAACCTTTATAAAAATGTATTGAATTGGAATTGATTCATTAGTTGGATTTTTTTTCGGGAAACATTTTGTTTCAATGAAGAAAGATGGACTGTGTAACTGAAATGTTTTGTGTAGGGGTATACGTCTGTAAGAACACAATTTAACAACACAAAAATGGGGATTTTTCTAATCACATAATTTAAGAGTTTTTTTTTTCAGCAGAAAGCTGCAGCTTTTATACGTAATTGAGGAGAAATGTTTATATTTCAAAATCGAACTTCGATTTTGGTTAAATATGGATTTTTGTTAGAATTAAACTGCAGCAGCTGTTATCTTCATACATATTGCATGAGAAAAATATTCACATTTCAACAGCTTTCATCTCTGGGGTGAGTTCTTTGGCAAATCTTAAATTTGGTTGAATAAGGATTTCTGCTTTTTTTTCCTTATACATGTATGCTTTATATGCCCCTTGTGAGCCCTTAATTTGGTAATAAAATATGTTATTGTTCTTGTTGTTTAAAAAAGCACTTCTTTGATACAGATTATCGTAATAGGTTGTTTACACTTTTTCGGAAACAAATAATGGTTGATTCACTAATACGTATAATTATACCTTATGTAAGAATCCTGGGTTTTGATTGGTTGATAGCCAGTGTATTTTTCACCAATTTACTGTTATCAAATGAATATCGTTCATTTTTAACGCCGCTGGGGTATATGCAAAAAGGATATGCCTTTTTTACCCTCTCTGCCATGGTATTTGCCAAATAATTACACCTTATGTAAGAATCCTGGATTTTGATTGGTTGATAGCCAGTGTATTTTTCACCAATTTACTTTAATCAAATGAATATCGTTCATTTTTAAACAGCGCCGGGGTATATGCAAAAAGGATATGCCTTTTTTACCCTCTCTGCCGTGGTATTTGCCAAAAAGTACTCTATCTGACTGGACGCTTGTAATGTCACGATCATCAATGCGTTTTATGTCACGATCATCAATGCGTTTTGTACGTTAACATTCGGTGTAATTAAACAGATATAGCATGTTCTCAAGGGGTATTTGCGAAAAATACCAGTCTTGAGAATGAATTTCCCTCGCCTTACGGCTCGCGAAATTTAACATTCTCTCGACTGCTTTTTTTCGCAAATACCCCTCCTTAACATGATATATCTGTTCAAAATACTCTATCCGACTGGACGCTTGTAACGTCACGATCATCAATGCGTTTTTGAACATTAACATTCGGTGTAATTAAACAGATATAACATGTTCTTGAGGGGTATTTGCGAAAAATACCAGTCTTGAGAATGAATTTCCCTCGCCTTACGGCTCGCGAAATTTAACATTCTCTCGACTGGTATTATTCGCAAATACCCCTCCTTAACATGATATATCTGTTCAATATCCGAGAATTTTCTCTCTGGTTAAATTTAAATTCCAAAACATACTGTTTATACTACCATACTTTATTATATAAGCATATTTTAAAACATTTGAGGCTTTAATGGTGTATAAATGCTGGAGAGCAAGGGAATTCGAAACGTGTTCCGCTGAGGGGGGAGGGGGTTCATTTGCGCGAATTTAGGTTTTACGTTTGTGCCTAGCTTTTGAGTACATTTGCGCGCATTCATTTTACAGGTAACACAAGTAAAAATAAAGATATTTCATAATAAATATGACTATTGTTATTAATTTTAAACATATTTGTAAATTTAAAATTAAATTACCTATTTTTCATATTGAATTCTAAAAAATATCTTAAAAAGTGATCATTAGAAATCCCGTAATAGCTAAAATCATACATGTAACTTAATTACACATATTTCAGAGAGGATAGCATTATGTGTCCTATAATTTTACCGAATAGCGATCGTTTAAGTAAATGAGTCAGTTTGTAAAGTTGCGCCAAGGCACAAACATGGAGTTCAGTTTTTGAAACAAATCGGGGAAAATTATTAGTGAACGATGGATTTACTTTCCGTATCGACAATCATGGATATTTCATAACAATATACCGTAAAGAATAGCAAAGTCAGGATAAAAACTCAACATTCACTAGCCATTCTAAATGGTAACTGTGAACATACACATGAGCCAGATTTTAGAAAACTTGAGAGGCAGATTATTCCCTGTTGTAAAAAGAAAAGCTACAGCCAACATAACTCATAGACCTATAAAATTAGTATTTTATTACCTGTATTTACCTTTAAAATGAATGCACGCAGATGTAATCGAAACCTGCGCACAAACGTAATTATCTTTAAGCGCAAATGTAATGGTAATGCGCGGAGGAGCATTTGTTATGTAAAGATATGTTATTTATCAACGTCAAGCTGCATACAAACAAAATGAACAACAAAACACTGAAATTGAATTCTTCTCTGTATTAAGGGAATGGTCATTATTTATCAGCTGAGGGGGTCGGTTCAAATTTTTCACATTAAAAGGTTTTGTTGGCAACCCCCCCATGATTCTTATGAACCACATAATGACCCCCCCCTGAGAACATAGTTTCAAAAGTTTGACCCCCTCCCCCCTACCAAACAAAAATCTCTATGATTAACAGTTGGGAGAAGATGATGACTGCAAGCTACAATTTAAAAAGTTGCAGGAATTGACTTGAAAAATAGCTATGAGAAGTATGTGGACATTGACACTATCCGTAACAGAATACGGCATAAAGGGGTTTTCCTTGATTGCAGTACTCATTTTCTTTGATTTTGAACTGATATTTCATAATACATTCTACACTATAATTCTGTTATTTTATATAACATGTATAAGTAGCTTGAACTAATTAATTTGATAAAGATAATTTACTTTGTCTGGTTAGCAGTCATTAGTAAGTGATATTCTGTAAATATTATAATGCCTTGATGTTTCATCATGACCTTCCATATTCTTTATTTTGAAGCTGATGCAACTGATTTTAGAAAACATTTTTCAGTTGTATTCTTCTTTGAGAAAACCCTGAGTATACTATAGAGTTTTTCTTCTTTTGTTTTTTTCTTTCTTTCGAATATGAATAGCTGACACATGCAAGAAGAAAAATTGACAAAATAAGCATTTAAATGAAAACAAATATATATATTGCTTTTTGACTTGAACCTTTATGAACAGAATGAAGTCATACCTTAATACAGATTGTCCCTGATTTTGAAACTGCTAATTCTTAAAACGTTAAGCTTTTAAAGGCACAATTAGCCAAATTTGTTTATATACATGAGCATGTGCTATTATAAATGAATGGAATGACGTAAAAAGAAAAAAAAACAGAAAATTCTTTGTTCCAATTTATTTGAATGCAACCTATAATTCTACAATATTATATATAACCTTTCAATAATGAATTTCCCTCTGTTATGAATTCGAATAAATTTAAATTTACTGTCTGACACAGAATTATTTGTGAATGAAAAAACATTAAAAAAAAAAAGAGAAAACATGGCTAAATTCTTTTAATGTCTTTATTAAAATTTTGAAGTTTTGTAAATGTTTTTTGGATTTTAATTTTCTCATCATATAGTTATTTTTTTATTTCAATCCCACATTTGGAAGTGCAACTGAAAATAACACATTACAAATATTACTATAATTGTATGGTTCTAGTCCTTCCTGGATCAAATATGTACATGATTTATTTGCGATAAAGAAATATATATATGTAGGTTAATAACTATATGAACATTCAATATTTTATTTCAATGTGAAAATGTTTTACGAAATCCGATGTGTATTGTTTTGTGTGTGTGAATGCCATGCTGCCCAACAAGGGCCCTCGATTTGAACATTAAAAATTCTTTTTATTATTCGATATCTTTGAAATAATTTCATAAAATAATTACACATATTTACAAATGATTTTAGAACGTACACACCTTTTACAGTCCTATATCTATCCTAAGAAATCGCATCAAAATGATTTGAACACTTCAGAAAGTTGTAATACACATGTTCAGAAACTTTTAAAACTCATTGTTTCCTGTGGTCAAAGCTAGAGACAAATGTTTTATACAGTTGTTAATCTTGAGATAAGTCGGATTGTAAACTTTCACATCCTTCTTGTCCTATGGATAATCATGGAACTATTATATTGAATATAATAGTTCCATGGGACAATGAACCATAACAGATGACTGTGATAAGAAGTCACCAGATTCACTACCCTTGAGAAATTAGGCAGCCTTCTATTACTCACTGTACATGACCAAAGATTTAATAATGACAGAAATTATTTAAAAGATTGCACACTCACTTCAATATTGTCAACAATTTATATGCTTATCAGACATAAAAACTTTCATTGTGTGACCCCCCCAGTCAAATAAAATTTTTGATGGCAACCCCCCCAGCTGTATGATATTTTTGGTAGTGACCCCCCCTAAAATGAACCAACCCCCTCAGCTGATAAATAATGACTTTTCCCTAAATCTACCTTTTTTATACATTCATTTTTTTTCAACATTAACATGTTTTAACCATGTGTAATCCAACGTATGCATCATGTAAAATAGATAAAGCTATAATAGCTAATGTACTAATGATCTGAAACGTTTGAAATCTTGAAATGTAGCGCACGTGCCGCTGATAAGTGAATGTTATCGGCATGTGCAGTTAATAGTTATTGTATAACTTAAACAGATGTTGGTAGTAGATATACAGATCAATAGTACATTGTAAGGCAATACACAAAAAGGTAAGTATAAATCAATACATACAGACCTCTGTGGCGAGTTCAAGTAACTGGTGATATCGACAGGATTTAATCAGTTTAGATTGTACATTTCCGTTCACTTCATTTTAAGTGTTAAAAAGGATTATGGATATGAGTATGAAACAACAAAAAAACAAATAATATATCCTTCCTTATATTCATAGCTCATACATTATTATTTCCGACAGTTCTAATTTCCTGAACTTTTGTCGTTTTTCGCAGAACGACTAATAGATTCTATACCCGCAGACTCGGTTTAACAAAATCTTTTAAAGTTATGTAGTTAACTTGTACATGAAACGAATAGTTTATAAAAATCTTTGAAGTTATGTAGAATTAAAACCTTCGAATCTAAATTATTAGTATAACCTAGAGATTCAATTAGGGGCGAATATTAATTAGACTTTAGACGAAGTCTGAAGCCTGTGTATTTTATGTTACTGCTATTACTGCTATACTAAATAACATTTAAAACAGGTATATTTCTTATACCACTATCAAGTTCTCGTCACTTGGTCGGGTCCAATTTGAAGACGACGTACTAGAGGTTGGCTTAATCAGAGACATAATGTATTATATGTCTCTGGCTTAATCAAACGTGTAAACGGATACTCTCAGTTTTGTTTTCTCTTTTGGTTTTAATATGTAACTGATTTATAACGAGATGTCTTTTATGTATTCAATTGTATAATTGGGTTGCTGCCTCTTTGACATATACTCCATTTCATCGTTTATTCAAAGTATTCTTTATAAATGCAAACAACAAATTTTAAATTGCTTAAAATATTAACATTGAAGCTTAACTTCAAACGTCATTTACACAACTTCCACACACAACAAAGTGTTAAAGCACCGATTAGGTTATCTGATACTTAATAGTTCATCTTACCTGCAGTTTTTATAAGCTTTGCTTCAAGGGTGTATCGCCTGTTACAACATCTTCTTATCTATCTAATGAGTAAAACATAAACAGATGTACTCACAAACTACTTTGGTATGCAGCGATGATTGCTGTGTACTGTGAAGTTAAACAACGAACTTTTGTTTTAACATGCTGTAAATACCATGCAGCTCTATTTTGTTTAAAATGTTTAAAGTAATGCAATTTATTCGATTCTTATCTTATCTCATTCGCGGAATTTTCCAAGTTGTATTTTCCAACTACAAGAACTTTCGTTTTCATGAAAAGCAATTATAAATATTACAACAAATACATTCTGTAGCATATGTATATACAAAATCAAATATATTAAACTGAAAAAAAATCTTAAAACTTGTACAGTAAAGGCAGTGTAATGCGTGATTCTCAAAAGTTAATTTAACAAAATTTGTAAGAATATTGAAAGCTTGAGCTTTCAAAGAAAGAGAAATACGAGCAATTTCAATATCTTGTAGAAAGAGTATCTGTAATGTCGGGGGAAAAAATTCTCTCGTAATTATTAATATAATAATGTAATACTTATATATATATGACGAATACATATGTAGTTTATGATGAAATATTTAATTAAAATTCAATAAATTAAAAGAATATACGCGTTTAGAAACATTCAAATCAGAACTAAGTCTTACCAAGATTGATCCCAACTGAATTTATTCTCTCTTTCTGTTCGTCTGTGATGATCTCTGATCTTTTTACCTTCCTGTATTCCTTTTCTCTCCTTCTTTGATCTATGGAAACAAATCATTAACATTTATCAGTACGAGGCTGAAGTATCAATCAATACACATAACAGTGAAACAGACTTCGATTTGTGTATTGGGCATGAGGAAATTGACATAACAGATCTCACGCTGAATTATAGTATTGATATTGATTGGATAAACATGAAATATAAATGAATAATCATTAGTTATCAGGTTTCTTGTGTATATAAATGAATGACCCGTTAATTAGCACCTTGTCCTCTGGTTTGGGAGTTGATGGAAATTTGATGCAGGATCAATTGAAGAGATTATTACGAATTATATTGATGATTGATCGCTGTTGTGGTCCAGAGTAATCCTCATAGATTTAAACAAGTGCCGAAATGGTTAAGATATCAGACGGTCTAATTCATATTAATGAATTTTAGCATGTGTTTATTTGATCAAAGAAAATGAGAACACTAGTTAATATCAAATTTGTATTGTATAAAAAGTACATGAATTATATTATACCATTCAATTTAATCAAGGATTTATATAGTTTATATAGCATCTAGTCTTACTATATAAATCCTTCATTTTAGAATATTTTTTTTTATCGGATGATTTCGTATCAGCAGATTAATTTAATATAATCACTTCTATGGTGTCCAGTAAAACTACGAGCCTTCTTTGATACGAGACTTATATTGTTTTTGTTTACATATAGTTATTGTATTTTTGATTTCTATTAAATCTTTAATTGTTTTAGAAGGTTCAGTGCTTTTTCGATACAATTTTTTTAATGTTCTTTTTATGTGCCATTTGGAAATGCACTGATCCTGATAATCAAGGGAATGCTGACATATAAAAGTGGAGCTGTTTGGCATTTAAAAAAAGTTTAACCCAGCCACATGTGCATGTGACTGTCTCCAAAATAGGAACCTCGTTGTCTTACTTCATATTTCTTTATGTATTTTGCTGTTTCACTGGAGAATTTGATTGGTTTTTATGGGATATCTTTGATAGTTTCGCTTTATCTATTCATATTTTTTAGACTCGGGCGATTTACATACATACTTATAATTTCCATAAAAATGGGTAGGTTTGACTTCTTCCAATATAGATTACTATTTCAAACACAATTTGTAACATTTTTGTCCTTTTCTCATTTGATTTCTGTACGCGTCTGTTTGAAAATATAACAATATAGTAAGCAGATTTGCATTTTGAAAGACCTGTAAATGGAATATTTCTATTCATTTAATTTATTGTACGTCGGACTTATTCGATTTGCCAAATCATTCGGTAATGACGGAAGATATTTTAGTTTCTTACAGCTTTTGTCTAGGACGATCTATAGCTATATAGCTTGACAAATATATACCAAAAAAACCCATATTGTTGAAAATCGTATGTTGACATCAAGGCGCCTTTTCAGGGTCATTGTTTTTGGGTTGCATTTTTATTGAAATATACGATACCTTTCCATTTATCCATGTGCGTATACTATAATATTAACATTATATAATAATGTTATATAGCTTCCGACTTGCATATATAGAAACTTATTAATTGTTAAAGACCGTATGCAGACCTCTTTACATACGTTTTTCTGGTTTATATGATTGTAGTTTGTGAGCTGTCTCGTTGAGGTATACCATACATCTCTATTTGTTAACATTCAGGCGTATATATGACACCTTATATCAAAATGATTAGTTATTATATTGGGGCACAAATTTATATACGCTCTCGAAACGTACGGATGTTTGCCATTTAGTTTCTTTCATTTTTAACTTTAGAAATAGATATATATATATAAACATAATGAAAAATATTTACCTTCCTGTCTTCCTTTATGTTCTTCATTTAAATCCACCATTTTCATTCTTTCTATTCAAGTTTTTCTACCATTTTCCAAAATATTGTTCTAAAAATTGTGACAATGAAACGCAGAAATGTAAAAGGGGACGGGACAATTTAGAAAAAACGTGTCAACGCGACTGTTCTTAATTTTCTTTTGTAAAATTTCAAAGAAAAAAAAAGTACCAAAAAAAGAAATAAATAAAATGACAAAAAATTAATAAAAAGGGAAGGGGATGGGGAAGGGGCGGCTTGCTCTTTGAATTGAAGTTTCAGATGGTATAACGGAAGTTGTTGTTGTCCGGCAGATATCTACGTCACAAACAACAAGAAAGCGTGAATGAGAAATAGCGGTAATAGATAAAGCATTTCAAAGTTATATTGGGCGCATTACATTTGCGTGCATTTGGCGATCAAATCTTTTTACGTTTGCGCGCAGTATTTGATTACATTTGCGCGCATTCATTTCAGTAAAGGTAACTCAGGTAAAATAAAGATATTTCATAATAAATATGACTATAGTAATATGAATTTTGAACATGTTCTATTTGTAAATTAAAATTATATATTTTTCATATTAAATTCTAAAAAAAATATACAGTGATCATGAGAAATCTCGTAATAGCTTAAGACATACATGTAAGTTAATTGCAAATATTTCAGAGTAAATAGCATTCTGTTTCATAATTTTACCTAATAGCGAATTAACAAATAATTTAAGTAAGTTTTTAAAGTTGCGTTAAGGCACACACAAGGAGTTTCGTTTGCCAGAAACAAATGGGGGGCCGGGGGGGGGGGGGGGGGGGATCATTTGTGTATAATGGATTTACTATTCGTATCGACAGAACAATTAAGTCCGGGATATTTCAGGACGATGCACTGTAAATAATTGCAATTGTATTTTACCAGATTCCCTATTTCCTCAACGTCTTTGGGCATCACTTTACCGTCAGCAGAATCCATGCGTACTACAAACAGCCCGGAATCATTCCATGCTCACTACAATGAGAAATTTTATTCAGCAAATCCATGTATTTTTGTGCACGTTACGAAATGTAATATCAGTACTTTTAATCTTTAGATTTACTATGTTTTTTATCTGTTTATATTTCCAGGACTAATTGCTTGTGCACAATAAAACGGAAATATCCTGCTTGAAAATAATAGTTAAATAAATAAATAAGTATAATCTACCTGTATTTACCCGAGTTTACCTGTAAAAGAATGCGCGCAAATGTAATCAAAAGCTCAAACGTAATGATTTTTGTGCGCAAATGTAATGCACCGGTTATATTAATGATGATTGTGGAAAATATGTACTTCTAATTTAAGCTGGTAAATCCACTATGAAGGAAAAGGCTACAAAAATAAACAAGTTTAACTTCAGTTAACCGTGTCAAAAAGAATAATTACAAAATATTGTTTAATCTTTCTAAAAAAAGTTATCGTTATAAAACACAACAATTTTATTTCAAAACACAGTAAGTATTGATTTTTTTTAATTTGTAAAGATTACTCTGCATGAACAGTATGTCAAATGAAAATAAAATATTGCACAAAAAATGTACCGATTTATATTTTTGCTTTAAATAATCAAGAATTCTCTTTAATTATAATGCTGAAATTTCCAAAGGGTGGCGACGTTAAATAAATCTAATATATAAATAGCGACAATTGTCCTTTTGCTAAATTTTGATACTTCAGTTTAACTGACACATGGAACTCTATAATCTACGATTTAGTGGGAAAAAAGAGGCGATCCTTCGTTCCTCATTGCTAGGGTTTGGATTTTTTTTTTGTATAGTTTGTTAGGCTGTTGCCACCTTGGGTATCTCCAACCAACCACCAACCCCCCGGTTAATCAGTTTTGAGATTTCAATATGAAAAGTTTGTTAGTTAATGTTGACATGTACAAATTGGACATTTTTACCTAAAGCTGCTGAGATGAACAACAGAAACATGTTTACAAACGAACAAATATTTTTATATCATCGTGACAATATATGCCAGTGTAAAAGTGAAACGCGTGTCCACAATCTTATATTATTTTCGTACACCTATAGGTATCAAGAGGGTTTTGGTTGTGGTTTACAGAAAAGAAAAAAAGGAAAACATCACCCCCCTCTCTCTCTCTCCACTAATTAAAAAATAAATCCGAATCTTGTTTAAAAAGACGAAATTGACATATTTTTTTTTTTATTTATTAGTTAAAGAGTTTCGTTTTTCGTTATAACTGAAGAATAAAATTCTTCTACTATTAAGTTTTCAAATTGATTACAATGTTTGATTATTCGAGTTCTTCAAGAAGTGTTTTCTCAGTTTGGTATTTTACAAATAAAATGCATTCTATCTGCAATTTGTCCTGGGTTGTATAACTGATAAAGCCTATAATATTCCCATCTAATTCAACAAATAAATTACTACCCGAGATATAAAAAAATATTTTGGAAATACGTTCTACGGGAGAAAACTCTATTATCCCCGCGGTTTTATTTTTCACAACAGCATCAACCGATAGATGGCGTTAATATCCATTTGTATCAAAATGGCTACCAATGGTTTGTTATTGCTTTCTTCCGATTTTCTTGAATATTTGTCCTTATATTATTAATTTAAAAGCATTTTACAGAAGAAAGATTTATAACAATACCTCATCGATCAAACAAAATAGGTGACATCATGAATGCATCCATAGATTTTGCTCCACACACTGGAAAAGTAGTGGAAACCGCTACATGTGTGTCTGTCAAAATGAAAAATATGTATTTTGTAAAATATCCAAATGATAATGAAGATATACATAAAACGAACGAAATAGAGAACAGACTTATACTTTCGTCCTTGTACATTTCATTCATTTATCATTTATGCCAATCATGGTCAAAATGAAGATGTATAGTGTACTGCATCGGAACTTTGTTGGCTCAGAAAGTCAATTATATATGCATACACCTTATCCCTATTGGTATCAGGTCGTTCCGGCCCCAAGTCGATCCGGCCCCAAGTCGATCCATCCCAAGTCTATCAGTCCCACTCGATCCGGCCTATAATAAAATAATGAATAATTTTAAATGGATATGAAAATGAGTATGATTGTTTCTGTTTGTAAAGCAGCATATAAATATGAAGTTATTTTTCCATGATAACTTGGAATATCATGGGGAAAAAAGTGTTAATCTAATTCACACATAGATTAGATAAATCCAATGGAACATAAAATTATGTAATCATCATAATGACTTGTTTAATTCAAACCATTAGTCTATCATTATCGCCAGTCGTAATCACTTAATTCAATCAAAATCATGATTGATAAAATTTACTCAAGCAACAAGGTCTTTTATTTGAAGTTCTAATAATTAATTGTTATATTTTTTTTTAGATAAAATGAAGAAGAAATGTACTATTATTTCTTTTCACCACTGTCTTCTCTGTGCTCTTTTTTTGTACCATCGAATTGTGATATTAAAAGAAAAAACCCATTTCATCTCCTCTTTTGTAGAAAGGATTCGGCAACCAAACAAAATTTTTCAATTTGAGAAGTTTAAATAACTTTAAACAAAAACAAAGTTTGTATACATCAGCCGCTTGGGGATCGGCTTGTACAGTTGTGTATGTAACTATTTGTTATTACACCCATTGAAAGACTTATTGTTTTAATATCACAGTCAATTGAAAAATGCTAATTACTGCTGATTAATGTCGATGGTACTAAATTCTGTTATATATGTTTTTATTATAATTATGCATACCCAATAGTTTTGAAAACTTGTAATATAAAAACATAATCAACATAATTGTTCGGCATATTTTATACTCATAAAGTATAGTAATATACAGTACATGTGACAGAGTGGTCCTTCTTTGGCAAAAAGCATTGTCTTATGATTGGAGTAACAATCAAAATTATGTCCTCAAACCTATGTTTATTTTTTTAAGCTTTAGCGACCCTTTTCAAATTTTCAATTTTAACAGTTATTATATTCATATTAAATCATAACTTGTTTTTCAACAAAACAAATGAAAAAAAAAACGATGTGGGCAAACCGACAAGGAGCATGCGGAGTGAAGGAGAAAATTTGCAGACCCATGTCTTGTGGACACACAAGTATTTTGGCGAACTGACCCATATACAGAAATGTGATCCCCTCAAATTTGTATTGGTGTATGTATAAATAAGGTGGTACAAATCCTGACATCTAGTCTGACAACTACTATGATGTTTATATATAGAACCTCCCCAAAATTCACATATTATTTTACTCTAAAAAAATTGCCATTTTTAACTTCATTTATAATTTAGTTTTACTAGTAATGCCAAAAAGTTTATTAATCCCCTACCGACGAAGTCGAAGAGGACTTTAGGTTTGCACTCTGTCCGTCTGTCTGTCTGTCCGTCCGTCTGTCCATCCGTCAGTCCGGCAAATCAGTTTCCCAGTTTTTTTTTCTTCATGCTTGAAGATATTGATTTGATATTTGGTGTATTGTTTTATCATGACAAGTTACAGGTCAAGTTTGATTTTCACGATTTTATCTTTTCTCCTTGTTCAGTTAAAGCCCTTTCCCTAGAATTAAATTTTTGATGGAATACTTATTAATTACTAGATTTCTGTTCAAAGGGAAATAACTCATTTTTTTTTTAAAGATTTGTAAAAGACATTGTATTAAGATAAATGACATTTTGGATTTTTTTCCTTTTCTTTAGTAAATTTTTTGAAGAATTTAGTGGTAGGTTTGATCCATTACAATGAATTTTTAACCGGTAGGGGACTATGTATTGCCATGCAATACTCACAGAAAGCTTGTTTTTTATGCAAAAGCAAGAAATACAGTTATCATTCATTTTTATTTAACTTAATTCTCATTGTTCATGCTGTCCACAAACTTTTTGTTTTGTTTTATTGTTTTTAATTTATGCTGACAGTGTTATTTGATCAGGATCATGAGGATGATATACATTTAGCTTTAAAATTGTTAGCTATTTTTCCCACAATCTGTTAATAGACAATATCACTAATTAGGAACATGTGATACTTGACCCGAGAATTTGCAACACTTTAACTATTTACGTCATACAACAATTATTTTCCTTTTGTGGCCTCAGCCGTCCTTTTTACAATGTATTTTGTGACATCAAAATTTAAGTTGAACATCTGTGATGCATAGTAATGGCAGACAAATAGCAATCAATAAGGTATTTCTGGTCCCTAATGCAATAGCCAGTTTTATTTGATCAATGCACAAGTAATTAATTTTTCTCAGGTTTTAGCTCATGGCAAACCCTGAATCACTACTTACTCCATGTGTACTGCAGATACTGTGTAGGTAATATACCAAACGCCATCCATTGTTTATGTTTTCCATTTTATATTTTTCAGATAACCTTGTAGTTTGTGATTCCTATGATAGAACACTGGAGAAAACCAGATTGATTAAAAATGTAATAACAGAATTCACAGGTATATGTGCTTCCTACTGTATATTACTTTTATTGACTCCAATGAGTTTTGCATTTATGAAAAAAACATTGGTGGGCTCATAGTAAAATGCAAATTAATTATTCAAAACTTTATCAAAACAATGTACTGTCCACACATTTTTAGTTTGTGTTTAATGAGAGTCAGAAGTTTGACAAACTCGGCCATACATTAATTAATGTATCTGCTGAATACATGTAGATGTTTATGTTGTGAGTTAATGTTTGTAATCTGATAACTATGTAAACATTTTGAAGAATTTAGTTCATTTTAATTTTTTCAGAAAATATTTTGTGTTTAAGAATGATTCTTCAAATAAGAATGACTACCTCTTGTTAGCTCACCGGGGTCCAAAGGGCCCCATGTGAGCTTATGCCATCACTTGGCGTCCGTCGTCTGTCGTCGTAAACTATTTCAAAAATCTTCTCCTCTGAAACTACTAGGCAAAATACCTTCAAACTTTAAATAAATGTTCCATAGGGTATCTAGTTTATAAATGTATCTGAAGTTTTGATCCATCGACAAACATGGCAGCCATGGCTAAAAATAGAACATAGGGGTCAAATGCAGTTTTTGGCTTATATCTCAAAAACTAAAGCTTTTAGAGCAAATCTGACATTGGATAAAATTGTTCAATTGGTCAGGATCTATCAGCTCTGAAATTTTCAGACGAATCGAACAACCTATTGTTGGGTTGCTGCCACTGAATTGGTAGTTTAAACAAAATTTTGCAGTTTTTTGTTATTATTTTGAATATTATTATAGATATATATAAACTGTAAGCAGCAATAATGTTCAGCAAAGTAAGATCTACAAAAAAGTTAATATGACCATAATTGTCAATTGACCCCTTAAGGAGTTATTGCCCTTTAAAGACAATTTAACACAATTTGTTCATCAAGTTTGCTAACATTTAAAAATCTTCTCTGATGAAAATACAGATGAGCAATTCAGGCTCTTGAGAGCCTCTTGTTTTTGGTAGGGCTCAGTCTTGAGTTTTCTGTGTTGTGTTGTGTTTTGTGTACTGTTGTTATGTCTGTTGGTCTTTTTGCTTTTTTAGCCATGGCGTTGTCAGTTTTTTTTTGACTTATGAGTTTGAATGTCCCTTTGGTATCTTTCACCTCTCTTTCACAAAATTTTAAACTGGTTATATTTCTGTTAGAAAAAAAACCAGACACATTACAATTTGTAAATATTCCAGTTGTTTGAGTTAGAATGTCATTCATAAACATTTCTACACTTATTGTTTTTGGAAAGTTTGCTATAGCAATATACTTTCCTAAGGTATCGGCCTCAAACCGGAAGTTGGACAGACTATCTCAAGTGTTCTACTAGATAATGTAGTACTAGTGTTTGAATACTAATTCTAGGAAAATGCCTTGAAATTTTGAGTTACTTCTATTTTGATTAGCTTACAGCTTGAATTAAAATGTACTGAATGTTCATCGATAATTCAAATGAATTCAACTTCATTTTGAAAATGGCTATCACAAACACTACTTCGCTGATCTGCGCTGCGTGGAAATTAAAATCAATACACATCTACATGAGACAGCAGTTTCTACGTTATACTTTTATCGGTATTCCCTAGACATGGGTGAGATCCATATATGTGTACCTCCCGACGAGAGTACAAAACTCCTGGTTTCAGGGGTTTCCTCCCGTCCTCCGGTTGAAGAGAAAATAAATACCGTGTTTAAAATATTTCATGAATGAACATTTTGCGAGGCTATTTTTACTACGATTATTACAAATATTTATTAAAAACATAAAATCCCGAGTGTATTGAATGTAACCTGGTATCTCATCTCGGCCCTTAACAGACTCGGACTATAACAAACTCGGCCTATTACAAAATCGGGCTATTTCAAAATTCGTATATACTATTTGTAATTAAGTCTCCCAAACAAAGTTAAACTTATTGTTTTTGCTCAGTTCTTATTATTTTTCTTCTTGGGGTCTATTTATGGGTATTTTGAGGGGCCTGCAAAAGGGAGGGATTTACTAAAGAACCCTATGGGATTTTATTTTTTTTAATTTTCAAATGACTATAACTTGAGAACAGTCTTCAGTAATGATCACAGGACAATAAAAGAAATCAAACAAAATATAAGTTGAGTCCTTGGGGTCACCCCCCCCCCCCCCCCCCCTTCAATTTGAGAACTTGTAAACGGTAGAGATTCCCACCCCAAAATCATATATATTCTTGAACGGGACAATAAAACTAATCAAATGAAATAAAGAGTCCCCTGAGAATCATGCCCCCCTTTTTTGAGAACTTGTAAACGGTCGAGATCCCCACCCCTAAACCATATATATTCCTGTTCATAATTTCAAGAAGATTTGAATGACATACAGGGTTAATCCCTAGGTGTCACTTATGCATATCACTTTACTAGACCAAACCAATTTGTACTGGACTTTGCCCAATGTCAGGCGACCATGGGAATGACTAATTATGGGAGCTTTGTTTTGGAGACTTCGTAACAGCATCCTGTTACAATTATTTCTTGTATTAAGTAAAAATGTTTAGTAGAAGTCGGAAAAAACCATTAACCACACAATCTACTAATCGTAGTCCGAGTTTGTTCAATATATAACAATTCAAAAAAGAAAACCAATTGCTTAGTTAGTAATAATACAATTTACTACAAACAAATATGAAGGACCTTAATCAATAAAAAATACTTAATCACAGGCCCTTTACATGGGATGGGCACAGAAAGAAATTAAGAGAGCTTTCTGTATATTTGATTATTTTTAATCTACAGTTTAAGGTTGCAATAGAAATTATAAAAATTTTACATGACAAACATATGCAAAAAGTGATTTTTAATAATTGCTGATGAGACAATGGTTTAGGGAAAAACACCAAAGCTGTATTTAAATACATATTTGAAATAATACACATCTACAACCTATTTGAAATAATATTCATCTACAACCTATTTGAAGTAATACACATCTACAACCTATTTGAAATAATACACATCTACAACCTATTTGAAATAATACACATCTACCGTTGCAAACTTTCCACAGGTGCTATCCAGCACTTTGATTTATAAATGTTTACTAACACAGAATAATTGATGTTCATAAACTTTTAAAAATACTTTGTGTGATATTATTTTCAGTAAAAAGGTTTGCTTAGCATCACTGTACCTTATAACAATAACAACTATGAATCTTTTTATTATAGGAAATCCTCCGAAAGATTATCAGCACATCCATGGTGTAAAAACAGTGATAGAGAAGTACCCTCATCCAAATATTCACAGTGTACCTACAAGTAACACAGTACCAGTAGGACCTGGAGATGTTTGGGAGAAAATGACTGGTAGGTTAATCCAATCAAAGGAGTTGGTACAACTGTAAATTTTTGCCCGCATAATTTTAAATTTTAACTGCTATGATGTTGTGAAAATTTTATGAAAACATATGTTAAAATGCCCAAGTGTTTCTTTTAAAAAATATTTGTTATCAATTTCCTCATTAGTGATGTATTTGTGACATTATAATTAAGGTATGTGAATTTGTTAACACCTGATTTTTTGCATAATTTGGCAAAATTTATGACAGTTTTCTGAAAAATTAGCTGACCCCTCACCCATAAATATATTTGCAGAAAATATTTTGATTATACCCTATTCTTCCCTTTTCAAACTTTCAATAGGCAAAGGATTGCACCATATATGAAATCATGAAATAAGGTCTAAAAAGATGACAAATTTGTAGAAAAATGGACTCAAATACAATCTGTTTCTATTTCAGGCTGATAAATTTATAATGTATAAAGCAGATATCATATATATATATATACAATTTTTCTTATTATACATTGAAAAATTAATACATTCAGCAATACATACACAGAAGATATACTCAAACAATTAGAGTTTAAAAAATACAAATTTAAAAGGCCATTGGCTCTACTCCTTAAAATCAATGCAATTTGTGTCTTATTGACTTACAACAAAAAAGATTGTCTCCCTTTCCCTTTATACAAGTATTACTTGCTTATTATAAGAATTAAAAATATAAAATTTGAAGTAAAATGCAACTTAATACACTTACACATGGCCATTAATCTAATGTAATAACAAAAAGTGCAGTTTCTTCGTAAAGATTGACTGTGTTTTCATCTTTTCAAGAACCGTATAAATATGAGTTTGAAATGGATACTTTTTAATGTATACAAAATTTCAAATTATCTCCCTCTTAATAAAAATTAGTGACAAATATGACCTTCATTGTAGCATAATATGTATGAATGGCTTGTTTATCATTATTAATAAAACTTTCAACTAACGTGTGTTGTTTATTATAGATTGGGATCAGTTAACTCCAGCAGAACAAAATTCAGTTAAAAATTTCCTTCTGGAAAGATTTGCAGTTGATGATTTGGAATTAGCATATGATGAGTTTTATCCCAAATTTGGTAAGATTTAAAAGTCTTTCAGCAAACTTTAAAAGTATAACTATAATTTGTACAATAAAATATGCATGATTAATTTTTAGTTGTTGTAGTTTACTATTTACATGTGACCAGCAAGTTATTCCTTTTGAATTTAAAAAGAAAATTACCAGTAATAATTGCAAAAAAAGTAGACAAAATTGTTTAATCACACAAATTGTTTACTCTGCAAAGAGGGAATACATGACCTGTGACATTTTATATTGTATACCAGTAATTAAAAAAATTCAGTATCAATTAAGTTTTGACTATTTCTTAATTTTCTTATTGTCTTTAAAACAAAATGAGTTGATTTCTGTCCTATTTGTTACTTTTCACCAATTCTGAACAAAATTTGCAAGTAAAGACATGATTACCTCATTATATTTTGGTAATCTTTCACTCAAAAAATTGCTTTACCAGGGATTTTTGGCTTAAAAATTGTTTATTCTGGAAAATTTTTGAAATTACTTTTATGTTATTGAAAACTAAACATAGCTTAAATTTATGAAACGTTGTGAAGGCAAATATTTAACATTGATTAACTTTATCATTATATACAGGAAAGCTTCCAACAGTCCATGATTACAGAGTATTTATCCTGAACTGGGAAGGTAGGCGTCACAAGAGACGTTCTTTAGGTACAGTCATATCAAGGTTTTCATTCATATAATTTTTACAGAAAACTGATTAATATTTATGGACCACAATTTCCTTTATATTTTTTAAGGTGTTGATATAAAGAATGTTGTATAGCAAAAATTTTTATTTTATTTTAATTTGTATAATGCATAAGATAATTATATCACAGAAAAGTTGTTGTCAAGGGAGATAATTTTTACAATTGTTTGATGTAATTAGTGTTAGATTTTATATTTTGTTCTCAAAATGTGTGATGAATTCCTTGAGAATGACTGTAAAGGCATTCTATTATTTGATAACACAGTTAGTCATAACATTTATGTTAAAATACTATTTCTTCTGAACTTTATTACATCTTGAAATATTGTACATTTGGAAATATAACAAGAAACTAAAAATTAGATTTTTAACTCAAATCAATTAAATGTTTTAAAGTATTAATTTCAAATGTATGTAGAGAATATGTATAAAAACATTGCAAAAAATTCGCAATTTAAATTTCATTCAAATTTCTTTCAGCTCAAATGAAGCAAGATCTTGAAACAAAAGATGACAGTATTCAGCAGCTATCTAACCGTGAAAGTAATCTACTTTTATCTTTAAATCATACCGTCATGCACAGTGTTAACCAACAGGATCAGATAAACAATTTACTGGGTGATAATCAATCTCTTCAGGATGAAAATAGTCTGTTAACTACTGTGAAGAATCAGTTGAGTAATAATAATCGTCAGTTACAAGATGATAATAGGCAGCTTAGTAGTGATAATAGTAATAAGGACAAAACATTAGCTCAACAAGTTAGAGTTAATTCATATCTGAGGAGAGATGTGGCAACAAGAGATGCAACCATTGAGCAGAAAAATGCACTGTGTTCTGAACTGAAAACTAAAACTAAACAATTGAAAGCAGAAAATACGGATCTGAAGACAGAAAACACACAGAAAGATGGCACAATTTCACAATTACAGACAGACAACACACAATTACAGACAGACAACACACAATTACAGACAGAAAACACACAGAAAGATGGCACAATTTCACAATTACAGACAGACAACACACAACAAGTCAGCAAAATTAAGAATTTAAATTCTGAAACAAAGAATTTAAAGAAAGACAACATATTATTGTATCAGAAATTACAAGAAACAACTGAAATCTGTGAACATAAGGACAGGCAGTTAAGAATTCAAAAAATTAAAGTTGATGAATTGCAATACCAAATGTCTGAAACTGGTGACAGAATTGCTAGGTTAGAAAAAGTGAATGAGGACAAATGTGATGAAATAAATAGACTAATTGGTAATAATGATGAGCAGGCTCAACATATCAGGGAGCAGAATAGCACCATCGATGATCTCAGACATAGGTTACAGGAACAAGAGAGTATCAACAGAGATCTGTACTCACAGATTGCTGAACTCAGGCAGCTGTAAGTAGTCATTATGTTTGATAGTCTTTATACTGCTGTCTAAATCTAGACAAATATCTGAATCTTAACAAGTTGTATTCATGTGAATAGGTACAGTTGATTCTTATACTGTTCAGTTGATGATATATGTACAATGATATACATTATAAATACAAACTTCCACTGATCTATCCTTTGTGACTTTATCACATGACAATTTTAACAAAATTTAAGGAAGTATTATGCTACAACATAGAACACCCTAAAATGTAAAAGATAATGATCATAAATCCCTGAATAGCGTTTGAAGTCTACAATTTTGCTTTTCAATTTTACAATTAACCTACATGTATATTTAGTTTGAAATTGATTGAAAGTTCACATGATTCAGACATTTTTATTTATAATATACCTTTTATTTCAGAGTTCTAGCACAGATAGGTGCAGCAGAAGAATAAAGATGTTAATACCACAAGATCATACACATGTATAGTGCTATACATTTTTAAATCATATTTGTTACAGTACAAATGTAATAGTATTTGTTTTAATATCATTTTTGTTGGTGGATACCATTGTTTCATATTACATTGTTCATTGTTATGGTCAGTATTGCATTTATCATATACATTAATTTATACTCGTTACTGATGTTTAATATGTAAGTTAGGGCATTTTTGTATACATAAGATAAATTTCATATTAACATGGTATAAGAAATAAAACTTTAGTTCACAGTTCATAATAATGCATTTAAAATAAACCTGGTGATTGAAATTGAATTCAGATCTTTTTTAGATTGAACTAAAAAGAAATAATACTGCTGGTGAAGAAAATTTTCAAAGATTTTAATAGAAGTTTATTATACTTGATGTGAAATGAATTTTATATAATATGCTTTATATAAACAGTAAAGTTTTTATAAGATATTTGTTTTAAACAAACTACATTTTATAAATTTGAATTCTTTTTTTTTAAAAGAACAAATGAACATTTCTATTATTTGATTTACTTTTATACATTATTTTTAATCTTTAATTGAATGATGCTTTGAAAGTATTCTAAATTTTATATAAAAATAATGTTTTATTAATCTACAAATTTGAATGAAATAAATATAAAAGGTTATCGTTATCAAATGTAATAAACATTTCTGTAGTTTAAACTTCAGTCAAACCTTCTTAAAAAACCACTACAGTCAAAACTGCTTAAAAAACACATACAGTAAGTAAAAACCTGTTTTATAAGACCATTAAGTTAAGGTTCCTCTGTAATGTCGTTCATAAAGATTGAACCCTTATTGAAACATCACCTGTTTTATAAGACTACTTTTTAGCTCTCCCTTAAGTGGTCTCTTAAAACAGGTTTTACTGTAAAAAGTTACCTCTTTATGGGGTTATCAAATAAACATTAATTGAAAATTGCTTCAATTTAGCTAACATTTAAATTTATCATCTACTTATGCAAAAGCTATTTATAGGGCTGTTTCATAATTGAACATGTCTGAGGAAAGGGGGGTCATGAGGTACTGTAAATGAAACTGATAGATGGTTATATTTTGTGACAACTGCTTCAAGAATCACTTTGTATTTGAATAAATATTAAATTTTGGGTAGCTGGGGGTACATATAATGCCTTCTGACCCCCAATATTTAATTCTAGAACAGCTTGTGTAAGTTTCCTTTTTTTAATCAGGTCAATGTTTGAATTTTCCATAATAAAAATATCATTAGAAACACATATCAGATCTTGATATACCTGTATTATCTTTAGTAATCTTTTCTGAAAATTTATTGACAATGAAATATTCTTCTTCATATTATTATATATTTTTATGTCCATATTTTATTGCAAATGATTGTACATACAATGTATATAACCTTCATGTAAATATTCCATATTTATACAAATTTTAATGCAGCGAAAATATTTGTATGTCTCTTACTGTCAAAACCATTCATTTGTATATAAAATGAGAAATTGTATAGTTTCTTTTGTAATATTATATGAAAAAAGAATGACATTTTAGATTATATCATTTTATTTTTCATATCTATTGACTAGTCATTATTGTAAATATATATCATCATGGTTGTAATTATAATGTTAGAATATCTTTTATATTATTGTTCTTTTAATTTCTTCCTGTCCAATAGTGCTATTTTACTTGTATCAGATTCAAACTGCTTTCAGTTTATTTGTAAAACCAAAACTACATAAAAAGCTATGGTTGTTGAGTTAAGGTGGTACCCAACACCTTGACTAATATTAATTTGGCTTGTTTAATTTTCATAAAATTTTGACAAAATGTTTACTTTGACCCTTTGACAAAAATATAAAAATTTCAAAAAAATTGAACCAACCACTTTATCAGAAAAATTTCGTTGGTTATATAGCAGTTTGACAAACACTAATTTTGATCATTGAGAAGCTTAATATTTCCTTAACAATACAACGTAATTAAAACGTTTAGCTGATTTTTACAGAGTTATCTCCCTGTAGTGTTAGGTACCACCTTAAATGACATTTTGTCTTTACGTTTATTTTTAAGAGCAAAATAAGTAATCTCCGTTTAGAAAAGGGTTTTTAAGTGTAAAACACTAAAGATGATATTTTTCATGTGAACATATTTTTAACAACATACCAAAAAGAACACTTAAACACTGGTAGACTTTTTGTTTTATCTATTTGACTTTGTAAAATTATACAAGGAAAGTAAAGAAGAATATTTTAGCAAAAATATTTGTAGGCCACTATTAATTTTTCAGAAAAAAAAATTCTACAAAAAATCTGGGTTTTTATGAACTTCCACTCAATTTATGATGTCACAAATACATCACTGATAACGCAATTGGTGAAAATTTTCTTTAACTAAAACAATTGGACATATTCACATATTTTTCATCAAATTTTCATAACATTATCACGTTTTAAAATTTTTTCAGATTTTATGAGTTAGTGCAACCAACTCCATTGTAACTTGTCTTACAACAGCAAATGCTACCTTGTTTTCAAATTTTTAATGTGTACCACATTGTTTTTTTACTGAAGTAATCGGCCTTTAATGGTAAAATAAGGAGCAAGGCATACATTGTTTTCATGATGAAGCTGTTTATTTATTGGCTACAATTTCTATTTTCAAAATAAGAAAGAATTAAAAGCAAAATGATAACTTTGGTATATAGGTACACATTTAATCTTATTTTTGGAAACAATCTGATCTCTCTATCTTATTAGTTTGATAATATATCAGTGGATCTTAATATTGCTGCTGTTATTATTTTTAAAAGCAAGTTTAACTTAAAAATGTTCCTAATCAGAACTATTAGTTTATTGATATTCTGATAATGTTTTCATATTCAATTATAAAGACATTCATATGTACATGACAGATATTTACATTGTTTCTATGCAATATTGTAGTAATGAGAGATGATGTAAATAAAATTATAATAAAATAATACCAAGAAGTATTTCTGTGTTTTAATGATTTTTGTCTCGCCTGCATCAAAAGTTGCAGAATGAGAGACAAAGGGATTACAATCCAGCGTCCAAAAAACTATATGTATTAAGCTTAATATTTCAGAGGGTAGTTGACCTGGAGGCTTCCTTTTTATACGACCGCAAAAATTACACACTTAATAAGTTATTGTCATGAAACTAGAAAAATGCTTGTTTTTTGCCCCTTTTTTGGCCCCTAATTCCTAAGATTTAGAGGCAATTACCCCCAAAATCAATGCCAGCATTCCTTTTGTGATATGAAACCTTGTGGTACAATGTCAGAGAGATCCATACACTTACACACAAGTTATGTCTGGAAGTTACAAAAATGCTTATTTTTGGCCCCTTTTTGGCCCCTAATTCCTTTACTGTTGGTACCATAACCCCCAAAACCAATCCCAACCTTCCTTTTGTGGTATTGAACCTTGTGGTAAAATTTCATAGAGATCCATTCACTTAAACTAAAGTTAGAGTGCGAAAACCAATGTGTCTTCGGACGACGCCGGACGACACCAGACGACGACGACGACGAAGACGACGACGACGCCAACGTCATACCAATATACGACCACAAAAATTTTTTTGCGGTCGTATAAAAATCAAAAATCTAAATACATGGTTAGATTCAGCATATCAAAGAACCCCATATATTCAATTTTTGTTGAAATCAAACAAAGTTTAATTTTGGACCCCGATTTGGACCAACTTGAAAACTGGGCCCATAATCAAAAATCTAAATACATGGTTAGATTCAGCATATCAAAGAACCCCATATATTCAATTTTTGTTGAAATCAAACAAAGTTTAATTTTGGACCCCGATTTGGACCAACTTGAAAACTGGGCCCATAATCAAAAATCTAAATACATGGTTAGATTCAGCATATCAAAGAACCCCATATATTCAATTTTTTTTTAAATCAAACTAAGTTTAATTTTGGACCCTTTGGACCTTTATGTAGACCAATTTGTCTGATTTATATTTAAAAGCAAATAATAATGATATGGTAGGAGATACACACCAAACAGGATGTGTAAATTATTATATAATAAGTAATGTGCAATAGCAAGAAATTTTCAATTGCACAGTATTGCACAATAGCAAGAAATCTTCAATTGCACAGTATTGCGCAATAGCAAGAAATCTTCAATTGCACAGTATTGCGCAATAGCAAGAAATATCCAATAGCACAATATTGCGCAATAGCAAGAAATTGTCAATTGTACAGTATTGCGCAATAGCAAGAAATATTTAATTGCACAGTATTGTGCAAGAGAAGATACTTCGTATAAATTGCTTATTTCTTGACCAATTTCAATGGGGTTTTATTCTTGAATTCTTGGAATTTTTTAATATGCTGAATTATACCGTGTATTTAGTTTTTGGATTTTGGGCCCCGTTTTTAAATTGGTCCACATTGAGGTCCAAAGGGTCCAAAATTTAACTTTGTTTGATTTCATCAAAAATTGAATTATTGGGGTTCTTTGATATGCCGAATCTAACCATGTATTTAGATTCTTAATTTTTGGTTCTGTTTTCAAATTGGTCTACATAAAGGTCCAAAGGGTCCAAAATTAAACTTAGTTTGATTTAAAAAAAAATTGAATATATGGGGTTCTTTGATATGCTGAATCTAACCATGTATTTAGATTTTTGATTATGGGCCCAGTTTTCAAGTTGGTCCAAATCGGGGTCCAAAATTAAACTTTGTTTGATTTCAACAAAAATTGAATATATGGGGTTCTTTGATATGCTGAATCTAACCATGTATTTAGATTTTTGATTTTTGGGCCCCGTTGTCAACTTTGTCCACATTGAGGTCAAAAGGGACCCAAAATTAAACTTTTTTTTATTTCATCAAAAATTGAATTATTGGGGTTCTTTGATATGCCGAATCTAACCGTGTATTTAGATTCTTAATTTTTGGTTCCGTTTTCAAATTGGTCTACATTAAGGTCCAAAGGGTCCAAAATTAAACTTAGTTTGATTTTAACAAAAATTGAATTCTTAGGGTTCTTTGATATGCTGAATCTAAACATGTATTTAGATTTTTGATTTTGAGCCCAGTTTTCAAGTTGGTCCAAATCGGGGTCCAAAATTAAACTTTGTTTGATTTCAACAAAAATTGAATATATGGGGTTCTTTGAATCTAACCATGTATTTAGATTTTGGATATTGGACCATAATAGGTGAATGTCCAATTTAAAATTTTTAAGTTCTTAGACCACATTCATTCTGTGTCAGAAACCTATGCTGTGTCAAATATTTAATCACAATCCAAATGCAAAGCTGTATCAAGCTTGAATGTTGTGTCCATACTTGCCCAAACTGTTCAGGGTTCGACCTCTGCGGTCGTATCAAGCTGCGCCCTGCGGAGCATTTTATTTGGCCCTGTCATCATTTTTGTCCACATTGAGATCAAAAGGGTCCAAAATTAAACTTTGTTTGATTTCATCAAAAATTGAATTCTTGGGGTTCTTTGATATGCTGAATCTAACCATGTATTTAGATTTTGGATATTGGACCATAATAGGTGAATGTCCAATTTAAAATTTTTAAGTTCTTAGACCACATTCATTCTGTGTCAGGAACCTATGCTGTGTCAAATATTTAATCACAATCCAAATTCAGAGCTGTATCAAGCTTGAATGTTGTGTCCATACTTGCCCCAACTGTTCAGGGTTCGACCTCTGCGGTCGTATCAAGCTGCGCCCTGCGGAGCATTTTATTGTATATAGATGCCTTATGTTACGAAGTTTCTGTCTGTCATATGTCTGTGTCCTTGACCTCATTTTCAAGGTTCAGCGACTGCTTTAAAAAAAAATTTTTTTGTTTTGTAAATTTCTTACTTATGAGTAATAGGATAACTGTATTTGGTATATGGGTTTCTTTCAAGGTCTACATATCTGTCAGACAGGGTTCACCTGACCTCGACCTCATTTCATCAAGGTTAAAGTACCATGATTAGTAGGTCCATTTCCCAGATTCTGTAAGCAGTATGTCAACTATATTTGGTGCATGGAATGATTGTAAGATGTACATGTCAGTCTGGCAGGTTTCATTTGACCTTGACCTCATTTTCATGGTCTATTGGTCAATGTTAAGCTTTTGTGATTTGGTCTTTTTTTCTAATACTATAACAATAGGACAACTTTATTTGGTGTATAGAATGATTGTAAGGTGTACCTGTCTGTCTGGTGGGCATCATCTGTCCTTGACCTCATTTTCATAGCTCATTGGTCCATGTGAAGTTTCAGTTGTAAGGTGCCCTTTTCTAAGATACTATAATCAATAGGTCAACTTCTAGTATGTTTGGTGTATGGGATAATTGTAATGTGTACATGCCTGTCTGGCAGGGTTAATCTGACATTGACCTCATTTTCATGATTCGTTGGTTAATGTGGAGTTTTCCTGGTTGAGTCTGTTTCTCCGATACCATAAGCAATAGGTCAACTATATTTGAGGTATGTAATGATTGTAAGGTGTACATGTCTGTCTTACTTGGTATCGTCTGACCTTGACCTTATTTTCATGGATCATCGATAATGTTTAGTTTATGTGATACTTGCAGTAAAATTATATCTTTAGGACTATCAACATAAAACGAATAATGAATAGTAAAGCAGGCAAGAAATTTCAGTGTGTGCACTCTTGTTATAGATTTTCTGATGTTGTGCCTTTACACCACTTTCCAAGGTTCAGGGGAGGTTTGGCCCCTTCAAACATGTTTAACCCGCCTTTATGTGCTTTTAGTTCAGTGGTTGTCTTTGGTTCAAGTTTGTCATATTTGTTTTGATATAAATTAGGCCGTTAGTTTTCTCTCAATTGAATTGTTTCATATTTTTCATTTCAGGGCCTTTTATAGCTGACTATATGGTATGAGTTTTTCTCATTATTGAAGGCCGTACGATTGCCTATTAGTGCTTACATCCACTTCATTTGAACTTTGGTGGATAGTTGTATCAATGGCAATCATACCACATCTATTATTATGCCCCACCTACCAAAGTAGAGGGGCATTATGTTTTTCAGTCTTTGCTTCCATTCGTCCATCTATCTGTCCTGCATCAGGTTAAAGTTTTTGGTCAAGGTAGTTTTTGATGAAGTTGAAGTTAATCAACTGGAAAATTAGTACACATGTTCCCTATGATATGATCTTTCTAATTTTAATGCCAAATTAAGAGTTTTTACCCCAATTTCACGGTCCACTGAACATAGAAAATGGTAGTGCGATTGGGGCATCCATATACTATGGACACATTCTTGTTTTTTTATTGTTATAAGAACCCTACAAAACATATGTAGTAACTATGCATTGTATTATGAAATAAGATTCATTTATTAATTTCTAAACTAGCATGTTTTAAATGATTGATTTTGTCTGTAAATTTCCAATTAAAAATGTGTAATTGTACTTCAACTTGTAACCCCTTTGGACATAGTTCACCTCAATGGGATCTTTCTTGGGTTTTTTGCTCTAAAATCCAGGATATTCAAACTTTTTGGATTATTCTACCTGATGACTGAGTGATTGATTGTTGGTTTTTGATGCCACTTTCAGCTCTTTTGGCTATCAGTTTTTACTGGTGGAGCATGCCAGCTTTCCTTTAGGGCACCACAACTTTCTACAGGAAAACTGGCAATTTTAGTCAATTAAGATCAGTCAAAACGCATGCCACTTGTAGAGTTCAAACTCACAATCTCAGTGTTGAATGGCTAGTGATGGCTGAAAATGTTCTTCCTAGGCCACTTAGCCATTGAGGCCCCTCCTACCTGATGAAAGTTATTCCATAAACCTATGTTATCAGCATATCATATGGTTGTTTTTGGGGGTCATGATTAATGGAATCATAACATACAAAACCAATCCAATGGTTATAAGTTGTGTTTAGTTTATGCAAAAGAAGTTTCTTAAAATAAGAAAATTAGCTAAGAAAATGTTTGAACATAGCAATAAAGGTGTTTGGTGGCATACAATTGAAATATATTTGTTGTCATAGTAAGTTACTGGTGTGCCAAATGAATCAAACTGGCAGTACTTGTTAGTTTTATTTGCCAGATATAATTTGTAATTTGTTGATATACCTAACTGAACAGCTGTTTACTTCAGATGAAATGTGATCAACATTTTACACAGAATTCTCAAAAGGTTTAACTGGTGTTAGGGATTGTCTTGAACCTTCATTGAGGTGGGAGTTTTTTCTCCATGTTGATGGCATCACTGCTCTCTGAGATAAAGATAAACAATAAAAATACAGTTCCTTTGCTTTAGGTTTTCGTTCAGGTGTTAAGTTTGTGTCATCAGTTGATACACCTTATCCTTTCTTTTCCTTTATATTAACAAAGTTTGTCTCTAGTGTTGTGTGAAGATAATAAAAATTTCCTCATGCATGAAGTGTGTGCTCTTTTATTTTGACGGTTAAGTCATATTTATTCTGAGATAACTTCTCCCTATGAGTGATACTTCATTTTCTCACGTTTTGCAAGTTTGTTTCATGAAACTGTTCTATATTCAGTCCACCCGAATTATTTTGTTGTTTCATACAGAATTTCATGCCAAGTTATCTAACATACAACTTGATGCACTCTGTTGTCTAAATGTTTTTCTTGTTTCTGTTTCTTACAATGAGATTGTTGGTCATGATCAATTTATGACTATTTGGAGGATTTCTTTGCCAGCTATAATTTATAATATGTTATTATTTCTGTGAAGCTGTGTTCAACAGATGTAGGTTAATCTAAATATAGCAAAGAATTCCTCTCATTAATGCTAGGGGCTGTATAAAGCTTTCATTTGGGTGAGCTTTTTTGTTCCATTCTCAAGGCTGGAAATGACTTTGAGATGAAGAAAAGCAATAAAAGCAATGCAAATGTTCCTTTGCTTTTAAGTTTTTCCAATTGAGTGAAGTCATTGTGTGTCATTAATTGATAAAATATATATTCTTTCTTGGTCCTTTGGTAAACCTCTAAGATATATGATTTTATTGCTCATTAGAATTTTAGTATGACAACCAGCATCATCAGTCCCAATACAGATCAGGATTAGGTGTAAGGTAACAGCTTGCTGCGTACCACTTCACAAAAACTATTCAAATGTATGAAGCGAACAAGTAAAAAACTTATTTCAGGAACAATTTAATTTACATTGCAGTTTTGTTACTTGGATGTTTTCTGCATTTTAATGAGTCCAGGAAGAAGCTACTCAAATACCTGTTGTACAGGGTAACACTCTGCAACTCCAAAATTACAATGGTTTCAAGTGAATCCTAAAACTATATCCTTATTATATATACATTGATGGAGGACAGTTAAATGTCCAGTGGCAATTATTACATGCTTATCCAAGACTAGAACATGCTGATATGACCCTTTGATCCATGTGAGCTGAAAATCGGCCTAAAATTTTCATCCAAAACATACTTGGTCACTTGAAGTCGATAATGACATTTCCTTGTTTAGGAACATTTTTGCAAATAAGGTTTTGAAAGAATAAGATAAATCAGCAGATTTAAAAACTCACTTCAGTATGCAATTTCATAGTTTAATTTTGTGTATACTGTGGATAGTTTTATAGGCCAAGAAAGAAAACTGTCTAAAATACATTATAAAATGTGATAATTTATTATTCAAACAAATGTCAAAAAAATTCGTAAGGGTTCCCCGGAACCCAGTGTCTCGCCTACTTTTGCTGTTAATCGCAGGCTCAACAAAAATGAGGAGAAAAATCAATAAAAATATTCCTTTAGATACTATCTTTTGATTGTAAGAAGCTTCTGTCAAAGTTTGGTACAAATCCAGGATAGTTTATGAATCTAATAAATGTTTTAAAAACTTTAACTGCAGACTGTATTTAATGTTAACTGGAAGAAAAAAAAGTCCATTTATAAGTAAAATACGGATAAACAGGTACAAAATTTTAACAAAATTTCCTTCTAGATACTAGCTTTTGATCATAAACAAGCTTCTCTCCAAGTTTGCTACAAATCCAGGATAGTTTAAGAAAGTTATTAATTTTAAAAACTTTAACCACAGAGTGAATGTATTGTTTCCTGGCGGAAAAACTAAGTCCATTTATAAGTAAAATACGGAAAAAATGAAATTTTTTTTTTAACAAATTTACTTCTGGATACTATCTTATGATCATAAACAAGCTTCTGTCCAAGTTTGGTACAAATCCAGGATAGTTTAAGAAAGTTATTAAAATTTTAAAAACTTTATCCACAGAGTGAATGTAATGTTTCCCGGCTGAAAAACTAATTCCATTTACAAGTAAAATACAGAAAAACAGGAATTTTATTTTCACAAAATTTACTTCTGGATACTATCTTATGATCATAAACAAGCTTCTGTCCAAGTTTGGTAGAAATCCAGGATAGTTTAAGAAAGTTATTATAATTTCAAAAACTTTAACCACAGAGTGAATATTTGTGGACGCCGCCGCGGATTACGACAACGACGCCAACGGAATGTAGGATCGCTATGTCTCGCTTTTTCCACTAAAGTCGAAGGCTCGACAAAAATATAACACATAACAATGGTACTTTGTATTTTAACCTCCTTGCATAAAGACATCAATTATCATAAAATTTTACAATTAAAACTTGAAAACTGGCTACACTTCACTGAAGAAATAATAAATAATGAATGGTGTAAAATCTAAAAGTAGTAAAGCAAAGAAACAAATATTTTTAACTCTAAAATGATATCCACATAAGTAATAGATTTAACCCATAAGTCATGATTATAACAAATTTTTTCTAATACTAAAAACATTGTTGTATGAAATTGCAACTTGCCCGATAATTATATTAATCATCTATCTCACTCTCTCTGCAGCTTAATTACCTTAAGTAAAATGCATTTTATCTGAATCTTGGTTATCCTATAAATATAATTTCGGTATTAAAATATACCTGAGGTATAACAAAATAATGACTTTACCTGTTAATTTATCATCAAATACATTCCTGTGTATGGTTGCAGTATTAAACACATGTATCTATATATTCTGTAATACTATTTGAATATTATAAAATGTGGCATCCATTTTGACAGTTAGAGTAAGTTAATTCTTTAAAAAACGCTCACTTAAAGTATATTTTATCCATGTTTACTGGGTTAAAATAATATGTTTATAATAATTTACAACAGTAAAAGACAAGGCTGTACGTTTAACTATAGTTGCTTACTTCTACCTCATTTGGTCTCTGGTGGACAATTGTCTCAATGGAAATCATACCACATCTTCTTATTTTAATAAGTGGTTGTTCAACCTTACTATCACCAATAATTTTAGTTGATGTTTTTTTATGATGCTACCAGATGACCTTAACATTTGAATTAGGGTCTAGAAACCAATGTCAGATTAATTTGAGTTTAAGCTATCTCCATTGCCAAGCATCGGACAATGTTTGAAGAAGGAATCCAAGAGTGAAGGTCTTATGCACTTTCACTATTTAATCTTTGTATGAAGTCATAATGTACCAATATAATTTAATAAAGTTCAAGCACTTGCTTTGATCAACCATTTCTCCTAGTGGGACAGACAAAGCTTTAAGCCAAGTGAGGTTACATTCTATAGAAGCAAAAATACAATGACTAGAATTGAAATGCATAAAATACATGTATGTTCTAACCAACAGAACAATCACTACTAACATCAACTGTCTGTGACCTTTGACCTTGAAATCCATATAAATGTCTATAATAGTATTGACATAATGTTCTACATTAAAATTGTACTTGTTCATGTGATGGCTTGAGTACTATAATGACTAGAAAGACAAGTTCATATTGACATTTCACAGATTGAAATGTCATATCCTTTTTGCAGTTGTGTCCACATTCAAATAGGCCTTCAGTAGCATGGCATTTTTCTTTTCTTTGATGTTCATAATGCTAGTGACATAGCCTTTATCATAATGTAGCTAGAATTCTACTGAATGATACAACTATAACTACTACAGTTTGTCCTAGTCCCCATAACAAAGCAATGAATGGCTTCATCTCAAAATCAGATCCACGATAAAATCCAGCAATTGTAGCACCTGAAAAAAAGAAAGAACACTGTTTAATTGATCGTGCTCAGTTAATGTATCGTAAATGATTAGTAACATCACTGATGTCCCATTCTTATATTTGGTTATCATTAATTCTAAAATGATGTGCCTCTTTCGATTTGTAAACAACAGCGTGATAAAATTCTCGATTTATCTATACTAAGTGCAGACTCAGAGATGTCCATATTGGTGGCTGTTACTATTTACCTCCCACGTAAATCCACATGTATTGTAACCTATGTGCAAACACTATGTGGATTTCGTTGTGTTCAAATTAAAATTGAAAAAAGAAACTACAGAACCGTTATTCATATTCTAATGCATAACAAAAAGAAGTAATGCATAAGATGCAGGGACATGTGAAAATTTCCAACAAATCTATGGCTTGCATGAATTATTTCTTAATTATTGGCTTTAAATAAATATATAAAGTGTATATGGAGGGAAATCCTCGTGGAACAGGATACAAGCTTATATTTGTTAAGTCAACCAACATAATATTGCCAGCTTTGGGGAAAGTTCTTAACATTAAATAATTAAATCATTGTAATATTTATTTTCACTAATTAATAACATTTTAACTTGATATTCTGCAAAGCCATATTAGCACAAAATGTTGTATCTTAAATATGTTCAACATCAAATTTCTAAAATTTCATTCCATGCAGGAAAATTACTAATATATTATTCATTTTATGTTTTTCTTCATGCAAAGATGTAATAGGATGCACATGGCACTAATTTCTCTTTTATTTTTGTTAAACATCTATCTAAGACAACATAAATATAGATTCACATAAATTTAGCATGTAGAAATGTCAATTTTCTTCAGATTCACATTAAAAAATAATGTCTAATAAATGATTTTAAATTACCAAATATCTTCTAACTATTATTAATTCACTGTGTTTAAATGTATATGTTAAATGCATATGGTAAAATATCATTCTCTCTATTATTTTCCAGATAATATGTAAACAGTTTTACAGATTTAAATATATAGATTTTGCAAAAAAATTTAAATAAAGGATGTTCGCTTGGCATGTTTTGGAATTTTTGTCAGATGTTTGGAATCCTCTGGTTTTATCCATTTGAATGCCTTAAAAAATTTTGCCCACTAATCCCCATTTTTCTTTTTATAAATCTTTTACATGTATAATTATAAGCCATCTGTAAAAGTCTTATAAAAACTTTGTTATTTAATAATAACTTTTGTGAACTTAAACTTGTCAATGATAAAGCTATGAAAAATCAAGAGAGAACATTTTCCCGCCAAAATTTCAATGGCTAATATCTCGAAAACAAGCACACGGACCTACATTTTTTTTCCGCTCATATGGATCCTTTACTAATCCACTATCAATATATACTAGTGTTATGAAAAGCTTGTTATTTTGAAACTGAGTAGCGAACTTCCTTAAGTATGTATTTTCAGTTGTTATAAACCAAATAGAAATCTTTTTTACTTGAACAAAAAGCATAATAACATAGATTTTATTCACACAAAAAATTAGAAATTGTTGAGAGTTATTGCATTTATACAGTCTTTTGGTTGTAACAAGCTGCTGAGATTAACCCAGCTCCAGCTCTTATGGGAGATAACTCAGGTAAATTAAAGATACATTCTGATTGTACATGATTGTTGTTTGCTTATTGTCCAGTGAGAAATATATGTAATATATGGACCGTCTGAAAACTTTATGCGATAGATGTTCCTTTATAATATTAGTTTAAACAGAAGAAATATTCTGGAATATTATTTCCATTGGAAGAAATATTACAGCATTTGTTCCTGAAAGAATAAGGGTATAGAATATTTGTTCTATAACAAAGTTTCCAGCGAAAGATTCTGTTAGGAGGAAGAAATACATGTTGACAAGGACACCAGAGAATACCTACTTGTAATTACACCACCTGTCAATGGACATAAAACTCCCATCACTATAATGACAAGTGACATCCATCGTCCAATCTTATGTTTTCTCAATCGTATAAAGGCTAAAATGGCTGCTATGGCATGTACAAAGATGGAGGTGAATAAGGCCCATAAGAATACCTGGTACCAGATTTCTGAAATAAAATACAAAAATACCTGTATTAACAATATAAGCATTCATGTATATTTAATTGACAAAGATAGTCATCAATTGTTTACTTTGTTTCATGTGATAATGAAACTATTAAACTGACACATTCACTGCCTGTTGCTTAAAAGCATTTAAAAAGTAGTCTGTTATATTATAACCTCCAATTTTTTAGCAATATTTTATTCAAGGACTTGCTTAATAAATTGTAGTCAATTGATTGATCAGTGTTTAACACCACTTACAGCACTTTTGTGCTATTTTGTGATGATCAGCTTTTACTGTTCGAGGAAGTCCGGAGAGAACCACAGACCTTCAGTTGGAAATTGTAAAACTGACAATCCTAGTCAATTAAATTAAAATCGAGCGCACCTGCCATGAGCCCAGGATTCAAACTCATAACCTCAGTGTTGACAGGCTAGTGATACAGTTGTTCGACTACTAAGACCACTCAGCCACCAAATACATTTGATAAGAAAAACATGGAAATCAGTGAGATGTGTGTGCCTCCAAACATGTTTAACACTGCCACTTTCTGTATGAGCCTGTCCCAGGTCAGGAGCCTGCAATTCAGTGGTTGTTGCTTTAAATCTTATTTGTTTTTTGCCTTTTTTTTTTTAAATCAGGTGGTTTGTTTTCTCGTTTGAATTGTTTTACATTTGTCATTTCAGGGCCTTCGATAGCTTGCCATGTGCTATGGGTTTTGCTCATTGTTGAAGGCTGTACAGTGAGCTATAGGTGCTAACCTTTTACGTCATTTGGCCTCTGGTGGCGAGTTGTCTCATTGGCAATCATACCACTTCTTATTATTTTTATATGAGAAAAAAATCTCATAGAATTTTAGGAAATAATCAATGCATTTAATTATGGAACAGAACTTTTATTGAAAGTACTCATCTTGAAAGTAACTGAAAAGGTGTTCATTGAAAAGCTAAAGCTAAATGCAAGCTGTGACACTGAAATAGGAATCAAATACTGTAAATTCAGAAAATGTTGCAATGTTTTTATTATTGCGAAAAATGTGACAGGGTTATAATAGCAATAATTTAAACTCGCATTTTGAAATTTTTTAGAGGAATTAAACAGGATTTTTCCCAATATTGCAAAAATTAAAATCGCATTTTAGTCTAAAATGACAAAATCGCAATAATAAATGCAATAATAATAATGATAAGAAGATTTGGTATGATTGCTAATGAGACAACTCTCCACCAGAGACCAAATGAAGTAGAAGATGGAATATAATACACCAAGGACAAGATGGTCCCCTAAACTTAAATGATTCATTTTGTTTGTACTCTGTAACATTATAAATATATATTATCAAAAAATCATGATTATCACTGAACAAATCATATGCAAGAGTAATCAATAAATTGTATAAAACTGGTGATGTCTTCCAACTGTGAACAAATAATTACTCTTATCAATAACATGATTGATAACCAATTAATCTGTAATTTATATATACATGTCTATGAATAGGAGTATTACAAACATGTTCTTATTCAAGTCAATAAAAATTACCTGCAAAACTTTTAGCTAATTCTCAAGGAGTAAGACCTAACAATAAAACTTACCTGCAAAACTTTTAGCGGATTTTCAAGGGGCAACCCTTACAACATGTACAATAAAACTTACCTGCAAAACTTTCAGCGGATTTTCAAGGGGCAACCCTTACAACATGTACAATAAAACTTACCTGCAAAACTTTTAGCTAATTCTCCAGGAGTGAGACCTAACAATAAAACTTACCTGCAAAACTTTTAGCTAATTCTCCATGAGTAAGACATAACAATTAAACTTACCTGCAAAACTTTTAGCCGATTCTCCAGGAGTAAGACCTAACATATCAAATATATTAAATGGTGTAGTGAACTCATCCTGTGATCCAGACGACATGATTTACCTAGAAAATAAAATTGATACTGTAAATTCAGAAATTATTGCGAGTTTTTTATTAATACGAATAATGCAACTGGGTAAGTATTGCAATAATAAGACCTTGCATTCTGATATCTGATTCATATATCTGTAAGAAGTCTTCAAGATTTTCCTGAAATCACAATATTTAATCTCAAATTTTTGTTCATTCTTTAAAAATCACAATAATAAATGCACGCAATAATTTCTGAATTTACCATGTTTACAGTAATTTATAATCCAATGATTCTGAAGTCTTAGAAGAGAGCAATTAAGTTTGCTTCAAATTGCATTGCCAGATGATGTTCACAGACCTTTTTGGTGGGGAAAGTCATATAAACACTGCTGATACATAAATTTATAAAAGAAATAGACCTATCTAGTAATTGTTTGAAGTTGGACTAAGATAACTATTGTGTTAAAGTCTATTAAATCCTTATTTCAGAGAGAGATTATATAATAACATTGAAATTTATTTTTTTTAAATTCAGGAAATTTAAATATTTTCTGAAACATAAAGTGCATTTAAAATTTACTTGTCAAGTTCCTGTCATGCCATTAACCTTTTCTAGGTGCACAAGTTTATCTGTACTTAGAATAGATTTTGTGTTGGTAACATAGTGCTTTCAAGACATTTCAGCCACAAAACCAGTTCAGCTATAGTCATTATTCAGCCACATTATTACATAATGTTCATAACGTTAATATGATATATATTAAGTGTGTTGACAACAGATTGTTAAATGAGAATGAATATAATTTAACAAAAAGTAATTGTGTTCCCTTATTGACCCTTATTTCTTTTTCTTCTCATGAAACATACCTGTCAACCTATGAAAATGAAAATGCAGGTTATAACCTGCACTGAAGAAGAAAATCTCAGGTCATAACGTGTACAAACTATTTTCAGCTGAATTTGAGTATTTACAGGACTTTTTTTAATTTTAAATCGAAGAGTTTCCAAAACATGTTCACATGGTTAAGTATTAACTGAAATTCTAACATGACGTTCTTCAAACGCTTTGAGTACACACTCGTGGTAAAATATGAATATATTGTTTGGGCTGTTCCGATCGTACTCCCGCGTCATATGCTTTTTTATGAATGAGCTACCCGACGTCATAGAACGATGACGTAACAATATAAGCATTTTACGGGAAAATACACGCTTGTGAAACCGAAAATCATCACAACAAGGAAACGTAAACAAACGATGCTAAAATGTGTTATATAAGCCATTTTTTGTTTCCATATAAGATATATAAATACAATTATCATTTAGATTAATTCAAACCTATCTAAATATGTCATTGTAAATAGTTTAAGCATGCCATTTATTCAGTTTGCTCCGTTCTTTTACGTCAATTTAATAGTGCGTTTATTTATGGGAACGGCAAATAATGCCTTCACCTAGAGCGCTTCGATCCAAAAGAATTGCCGTATTTGTCCTATTAGAACCGAAATAATTCATGGGGGCTTGAATATATCATGATTTTACCACGGGTTGTCCCTTTATGCCGATATTTTACCCATAGCTCAGGGTAAAATATTTGTCATAAAGGGCCAACCCGTGGTAAAATCACGATATATTCAAGCCCCCATGAATTATTTCTTAATTCTAACATGACGTTCTTCAAACGCTTTGAGTACACACCCGTGGTAAAATATGAATATATTGTTTGGGCTGTTCCGATCGTACTCCCCCGTCATATGCTTTTTTATGAATGAGCTACCCGACGTCATAGAACGATGACGTAAGAATAACTCTATAGGGTTATTAGAGAAAATATCATACATGTGTTATAACAGATACTTTCATGAGTTGTCTACTCTTTATTTCTTAATCTGTAGTAATATATGTTTATTATTTGTTAAATCAATCATAAATATTTTAATTTTTAGTGAGAACTTGGGAATTCCTGAAACTTTGCGCAGTAACTTAATACATAGTCTTGATAACTAATTTTCAAATTAAATTAATACATTTTTTTATCAACCATGGCGAGTCAATGATACAAGGCTTTTAAGGGATAAACTAAGCTGTAATAGCAAGGCTTAGTTATTACAGGTATACAACTTATTACATGAGATTTTTGGTAATTACTCTCTAAGCTTGCGCAGAACCTCATTACATGCTCTGGTCATTATTTCTTACAATAAATTAAAATACATTGTGATAAAGCATGATATATGTCTGAGCAAAGGCTTTGAAGTCATGTAGAGAAGCTGTAATAACACACTTTAGTGCTGTTCGTGTGAATGATTTAAGTGTTATATATGTAATAACAAAAAATTACATACACAACTGTACAAGCCGATCCCCAAGCTGATACATATAAACTTTGGTATACGAACATGAGACAATTCATCAACTTCATCAGTATAAATATTGTACTTGTAAGTATATGTTTTTGGTATACAAATATGAGACAACATGAGTTTCATCAATATCATCACATTACTGTAAACTGGGAAATTTTAGCGCCATCTTTTTTCTGAGGTTTACCAACCAGATCTAAATTCTCCCAATTTTAAATTCGCGATATTTAAATTCGCGATATTCCGGTGTCCTACATAAGTATTTTATAAAAGATTAGGATTTGAATTTTACATGTGGCGTTAATCAAGTGATAAAATCAATCAAAAATCTTTTTTGTCGGTTCATTAATGTAAAAGTAGTTTTAAGTTATTAGTCATGTTTGCAATAAAACACACATACACAATAAACAAAGAAGAATGAATTAAATGTTGTCAGGATTACTGCTAGTTTATTAATCAATCTTTTGATCTTATTATTCTGTGTACCAGATATAATGAGGCAATCATTGTAAAACTGATTGACAGCTGTTATTTACATATATAAAACAATTATTTTTATAACAATATCCATTATATCCTATTGCTTGAGATGTCTTCCATTTTGATTAGACAAACATGAGTATAGTTGTGATTTCTAACATTGCCTTCATTTAGAAATACAATTAAAGTTATGATTTTCAGTATAGATCAGTGGTGTGTAAAACCGATGTTATACAGTCAGGGACAAGTGTCACATGATGTTTGCCACACAAGAACAGCTGCAACTACTACAAACTGCAAAGAAGTGGTATATGGATGGTACATTCAAAGTGGTAAAGAAGCCTTTCTACCAGATGTTCTCAATCCATGCCTTCGTCCAAAAAGACAACTGTATGAAGCAGATACCTCTTCTCTTCATCTTGATGTCTCACAAAGAGAAGAAAGATTACAAAGCAATAAGTAATACATTTTTATAACTATTTATGTGGTTTATACTTGGTATATGTCAATGAGATTGTGAGATCAGTATAGTACCAAAATCTATAGGGTACATGTCAATGAGACAACTATGCATCTTTTATATATCTACACTGTTGATGTATTACATATTTATATGTACATTGTATATGATTATGGTGTATTACATTAAAATTCTATATATACAAGATGATTAAAATTTCCTTCGTAATTTTAATTGTTTTTAACAGGTATTCAACAGACTCGTCGAACTGATCCCTCAGCATAGAGTGCAGGCCTTTTGTTTAGATTTTGAAGCTGTTAAGTGTTAATGTATTATTAGTATGAATATTCACAACAAAGTATTTGATTCACGATCATGTAGAGTTGTTTCACAATAAATACATGTCTTCTTTATCTAATATTTGATATTGCGTTAGTACATGTTTGTCTTCAATCTATATGTTTATATAACTTTAATTTTAATTATAAAATGCTGAATTTGAGTATACCTTATGTTTAGTATAATAGTGCGTTTTTTCTTGGTGAGCATATCAAATTGAACAATTATAGTGCTGTTAGTTGTTCTTTATATTATATGTACTGCTTATGATAGCTAGTGTATTTGTTATTGTAGTAGTGCTGAAAAAATATATAATAATTCAGTATTATAACTTCAAATAAAAGATCAATCTATAAAGACCTTGTTGATTACGTAACTTTTATCAATCATGATTTTGATTGAATTAAGTGATTACGACTAGCGTTACTTTAGTTCACGATCATCAGACAACTGTTGAATAAACAAACCAATTATCATGATTACAAATGTATAGACTAATGATTTGATTTTAACAAGTCATTATATGATGAGTTACATTTTTATACATGTTCCATTGGATAATAAGCCTATAAGTATCTATTTATCTCTTCTATGTGTGAATAAAATAAAAAAAAAAAAAATCCCCATGATATTCCAAGTTATCATGGAAAATAACTTCATATTTATAATTTGATGCTGCTTTACAAACAGAAACAATCACACTCATTTTCGTATCCATTTAAAATAATTCATCTGATTGTTACTCCAATATTAGGCATACTTCACTTACATGTACATGCTGTCATCAAACATTGATACTTTTTACAAATTCCTTTTGATCCGGGAACACAGTTATCGTCCTTTGATTTTCGTTGTCTACAAATATAGTCCCTAGTGTGGACAGTGTGTTACTTGCAGCTGCTATTTTTTTTTATACCCCTTCCAAATTTATTTCTTCATGTTTTATGCCTCAAATAGCAAGTAGGGGGATGTAATAACACTGTAAAAAAATATGGGTCATGAATTTTAAAGTAAAGTAGTGATTTGGTCCAGCTAAAAAAGGTCAAAAAATAGTATTTCGGAAGCTGTCAAAAGAATATAAGACCCCCTTAATATGCTTAACATAAAATTGGCCATATTTTGAGTGATAGCTGATGAAGTTTTTTATAATTTTGATATAATTTGTCCCAAAAATAGTCCACCACACTGTAAAAATATTATTTAGAATGCGCAGGTGGGATTTTTTTTATTTTCATTTTTTGTCTAAAAGAAATGCACTACGAAATAACTGTGTTCTCGGGCAATTTATCCCGATTCAAATATGTCACCAAATTCTCCGAAGTTAATATAGATTATTCATTACTTTGGGCAGGATCGACTTGGGGCCGGATTGGTTTGGGGCCGGAACGACCTGATACCCTATGCATGATTGTCAAAATATGAACTGTTATATCTTTCTATAGTTTAGTACATAAAGACAATAATAATATCAATAGAACTTGTATACATTTTAACAAAACAAAGGATGTATATCACCCCTTTGAAACATGTAACATACATAAGTTATCACAGTTTTTGGATTTTTTAGTCCACAATAACAAATGTACATGTATGTTATTTTTCTCTAATTGTAATAACCATATAGAGTTATACCCTTGACTGTCTATTTGTTTCATAAATCAACAATCTACATATAACACAGTATATTAAGGCTATATATCATTAATAAAATGCATCAAAAATCAACCTTTCCCATTAAACCTCTGGATATGGTACAATCTGAAAAACTGTTCCAGGTTGACGGTTTCAGAAATTGACAACTTATTATAAAGTGGTCATTTTTCGGTACAAATATTTGGGCTCTTGAATTGGAAACATTTCGTTTGATATAATTAGAATCCATAATTTTACCTATACACATACAATATCAAATATTTTGAATAGTTCTAAATAACATAATGTTGTAAAATGTACTAGGAATAAAAGGGTTCAAAACTTATGAACACCTTATAGTAGGAGAAAACACTTCCGGTCACAATTCTGAATTTATTGTGCGAAAATTGTAAAATATAAAAATGTCAGACGAAGAAGATTACAGCTCAGGAAGCGACGAAGATTATGTTCCTTCAGGTGATTGACCTCATTTTATACATGATCTTCCAACTGTATATTTTCCCGGGAAAAAATGACATAATAAAGCAAATATCATCTCGTAACAAACTATGCACGTTGTCTTTGACTTTGTGTGTGTTTTACCCCGAATGACCCCAGGTCAAACGGGACAGCTCATTCCTAAAAGGGGAATTGAAAACTCGTATTTTATTCATGAACATACATTAAATGCATGATTATCTGTCTGGACGTGCCATATCTAAAACCTGTCAACCACTGGACACATCCTAGCTACATGTACATTAGCTGAGTCCTATTATCATCAATACATGTACTATCCTTAGCAAGTACACCAAAACTGATTGATATTACCATAAAACTGTTATTTATATTGAACCACCCTTGTGGTCCTGTGGTAGCATGTTGGCCTCTAGTGCAGGAGCCAGGAAGTCGTGGATTCGAACCCAGGCGGGGTCAAACCAAAGACATGAAAATTGGTGTTTGCTGCTTGTACGATAAGTTCACTGCTTAAAGACTGGTAGGCTCAGTGTCATAACAATGTGACTGAGTAGGGTAAAATGTCTTCCTGGTCCCTGCTGTGGACTGTTACCTTTTGAACTAGCACAGTAAAAATCTGACTCAGCGTGTCAGTCTACATGCACTAGAAAA